TCAAACATTTAAATTTTTTTTTACTGCAGCAAAAAGAAATATTTCGGAGAACGCCGTTTTCCTGCGTTCCCTTCCCCCTCAACTACAGCACTGTATTTATGTCTGCTATATCATAGAGCAGTGTTTCCCAAAGTGTGGTACGCGTACCCCCAGGGGTACGGGAACAGTTTAACGGGGGTACGCGTTCTTATGCGAAATATCTTGCAACAAACGAAAATTTCAAAAAAAAAAATTTTAAAAACAAAGCTGGCCATGAAAATTTACAATTACGTATTTTTCTATTGGCTTTTTTTGCAGAGNACATTTAATGCCGCTTAGTTTGTTTGAATAAATCTTAAAAACTTAAAATTTACTATTGCTAGGTACATATATTTTTTTATTTATGCATTGACGTAGTGGGAAAAAAATATTTGGGTGAACTCATTTTCTATTAGGTATATGTCAAAGTTGGCTGATTTTTGTTAGACCAAAAAATGACTAGTTTAAATTACTTGCCCAGCTTAATTAAAAAAGAAAGAAAATCGGACATATATATATATATATATTTTTTTTTTAAAAAAAGGAGGTTTGCTGCCAATTTGGATTATTTTTATCTTTGGTGCATTCATCATAAAAACTATTGATTAAATAATTGCATAATTTAATTTCTATTGTAAATTCCTATTGAACATTACTGTAGCACTTGAAAAGTAATAAACAATTGTTTAACACATTGCCTGGAGGAAGAAGGTAGGAAATACTTCTATGCACGAACACGAAAAGGTGTAAAGATTTGTTTTGTTAGAGTTTAACAGTAAGAGAAGTTCACATAACTTTTGTTATTTACATTAAAAGTGTCTTTATTCAAATAAGGATTGAATGAACTTAATGAGCCCCTATTTTTTATTGACTAGACCTAATTACTTGCTCTTAGATTGGTTTTCTTGCTTACCAGGTTATAAAATATGTAAAACAGAGTTAGAAAAGTAATCTGATTTAATTTTTAAAATTTTACAAACCACATGAAATTAATAAAAAGCTTTAAACTTTCCGTTTATACAATAACATTTATTATTATTATTATAGTTATTCTCCTTTGCGACTGTTTACAAACGCTCTCAAAAATTGACTATTAGTTGACTATTAAACAATTTCTTTTATCCCAAAAATTATAAAAATCTTGCATCATTATCGACAATTATTAGTTAATTGAAAACTTTTTAAAGGTTTTCATTTAGAAATTTAATTATATTTTTATGCATGCAATTTCTTTCGAGTTTCTTATAATTACAGGATGTACCGTACCGAACGTCCGTTATATATATTTTTAATGCAAAAGTGAACCTAAGGGTTATGCTTTTAGAACCCAAATTAATGTTTAAAAGGAACATAAACCTATCAGATCCTGTGGAATCATTAGTAAGGAAGGCGGGGTGAAAAAAAATCAAAAACAGTTTGATTGACTGAGGTGAAACTTATGTGTTTCAAATAATCGCCTTCTCAGCTTCTCTCTATTAAATTCTATTTAATTATTGTGTTTCTTTACATTACGATAGCATTTTCCCCCCTCTATAAAATAATAATTTGTTCCCTTTAAATGTGTGTGCTTTTTTAATTAATTTTTGACAAGGTCTCTGAAAATATAAAATAATTGATTTATTACATAATAACTTTTACACATTAATTTTATATTTCCATTATTTCTCTTCTAAAAAAAGTGTGTGAAATTATTTCAAGTCAATTGCTTCAATGATGTCTCATAACTAAATTTTAAACTACATCAGTAGTTTTCCGTCATCTTCTATCGTTGATTTCAAAACACATGTTTTTTGTCTCAAGGGTATTCTTTGGAATCACATATGCACAATTAATTATTAGTAATGCTTCGATAGGATGAATGATGAATCAAATGCTGACATTTGAGAATTCGGGTCGATGTTTAAGTGCTTTGTTGCACTTTCCATCACCATAGCAACTTTTATTCCTATCTTTTGACTGAGAGGTTTCGCTTCATCTCACTCTCCGCATAAATTTATTAATCGTCTGAAAATTTTGCCGTAAATATATATTCTTTTTTGCTTCTTCTTTATCACAGTTCGAGTTGTTGAAAGTAATTGTTTGTAATGAAGTTAAAATATAGGTTTTAAAGAATATCACTGAAAGAATAAATGGATATGATTTATTTTCACGTGTTCTCGTAAATAGAAAGAGACCAAACTTGTTTATGTATTATTTATGCAATAGGGATAGTCTTTTTGTTTTCTTAAGCAGGTTCTTTTATGTTATGGAATTCGGCTTATTCTTAATAGTTATCCCAACTAACTTTTTATTTTTAGAACAAATTCGGACAAAATTAAAAGTTAAATCATTTCCTGCGTAATATCTAATTTTAATATCTATTTTTTTATTTATTTATTCATTCACTTATTTAGAGTTTCTAAGTTGCAAATTTATTTTTCCATTTAATTTAGGGATGCACAACCTTTTGCGATAGGCCGCAAAAAACATTTTCAGCTTTTGGAGACCCTAACCAGGGGTCTGTTTAGAAGAAATTTGGGTTCGTTAACGGACCGGACCCTTCACGAAATATCTTTTCATAAAAACGGACTCTTCACAAAATATTTTAATTTAAAAACGGATCCTTCACAAAATGATTTTTCTTTTAATCGGACCCTTCACAAATTTGTTCTTCATTATTGTTTTGTTAATTGCGCTAACCCTTCCTAGGGCAGAGAACAAGAAAGATGGACGTAAACGAATTAAGTTTTGTCTTCGGCAGACGATGCTTCCATTATTCGTCCGAAATGATTATTCTGCGTTCAGCAGTATAAGCTAAATACCAAATATTTGTATGTTGCATCTCTAATTTAGAAGCAGCAATTGCTGTTTATTTTTGAAATTTTAATTTTTTAAATTATAATTTTAAGTGCTGAGCATAATCTTGTATCTATTTACAATTTAAAAACTCCTTGAAAAAGTTTTTTGCAATAACCGGACCCTATTTGCACAAGTTCATAACAGCAGGACCCTGGTTGAAAGAATGTGAGTAATTTTTCAGAATTTCACAAAAACCAGACCTTTCACAAAATGTCTGGACAGACCCCTGCTAACAAATTCAGTGTTTTTATCAATCAATTATAACTTAATTGTTTCTAAGTATAGTGAGAACAATACTAATTTGGCTTTTAAAAATATATAAAAAATAATCATATTTTACTTACGAATTAGAAAACTTATGAAATTTTACACACTTTTTATTTGTTATAAAATTGAATATTAGAGCCGCGATGGCTCAGGGAATAGAGCGTTCGTCTTCCAATGAGGCGAACCGGGTTCGAATCCCAGTCGATACTAATTCCGCATCCGGCTTGCACCGACCACAGGGCTGACGTGAAAGTGGTAGACGGATCATGGGTTAGAGTCCCCTTGTCGGCAGGCTAACAGTGGGAGGTTCTCGTGGTCTTCCCCTTCATGTAACGCAAATGCGGGTTAGCTCCATCCAAAAAGTCCTCCACGAAGGCAAATTCACCCAATACTCGATCCAGGAGTTCTCTTGACTTCTGTATCGGGTTCAAAATTACAAGGCTACGGAGTAGAACATTAGTAGTCGTAAACCCATAAAATTGGGTTGACTGTTCAACGACAGTTATAAGAAGAAAATAAATTGAATATTAGCTAATTTTCAACTTTCTGTGAATGAAAAAATTCTTTCCCTTAATAATTTTCTTTAAATTTTTTTTACTGTATATAAATAACTTATATCTTTAATTTTTAAATAAATCAGTATTTAAAAATGTTTAAAGAAAATTTCTTAAAAAATATTGAAGTATTGGAAGATTTAAATCTTCTGACACCGACCTTGATATCATACCTCTACATCTTGGAATTTAAATGTTAAAACATCGCCTTTCTTTCCTCCAAAACTTAATCCTATTTACGGTTAGAAAGTAAGAGGTCGCGCTACAATCTTTCGAGGGCCCCATATTGCCCACTTCTACAGTATTTCCTTTTTAAGTGTAGACGTTTTCCTTTTTACAAAATGTGCACTTTGTCACTCCTCTCCGTAGCCATAAACATTCTACCCTTGTGTCATAAAACCCTACATTTAATTCAATTCTCGTGTCTCTCTTAAATCTTTTATGAGATTGTAAATAGTATCTACTCTTGCAACTTTTGAAAATCGTGCCGTACATTGCACATTTGAGTTGTAAATTCTTCTAAAAATGGCTGTCAAATTTTTTTTTTAAAATTGGGTGAAAAAGTGAGCAAAATTGTTTTTATACAGCGAAGATTTAAAAAAAAAAAATTTACCAATTTGTATCACGAAACTTTTATTTGTATGTTCTCTGTTGAAAAGCACGTCACACACTTACGCTTGTTAGCTGGAAATTGTTTTAATACTGGCTGTTAAAAATAATTTTTTATTTTGGTGAAAAAATCATATCACAAATTTGCCTCGCAGTGGCACATTGAAAATAAATATTTGTAACATGTAACTCTTTAAATGATTCCTCATTTTTGTCTTTATCGTTGTAAATATTTCTACAAGCTATAGTTATAAAATGTTTAATTAAAAAAAATAATGACCGATATTGGACTAATAAACGAATATTCTTCTCAAAATTTAATAAAATAAATATAAATTTAATTTTTCGTCAAGATGTTGTTCTTCTTGGAATTAAATGCTAAAATTAGATTACTATTGTAAAAGTTACTGTTTTGCGACTTATTTACGTAAATCTATTAATTAATTATTTTTACTCAGAAGGGTATCCGAAGTTGCCATAAACAAGCTCACGTGACATTTAAGGGTTCCTTATTGCAGCAAAAACTGTGCGATAACGTAAAACACTCCTACTTCTACAAAGAGAACAATTTTAAATATGAAATCAGTCTATGAAGATTTAATCGAGTTATGGCTTGTACAACCGACATGAAAAAAGTAGCTTGGAGGCTTTGCATCTCTAGAGTTACGATTTCATGACAAATATGTTTCATTATTATTTATTTTTTCCCCTCAGGAACTGCCATTAGCTGTTTTCGATGTAACTCTACCCAAACTTTGGATTGCCTTGAAAAGTTCCTGAATCCTAATCCACTACGACCAGAATCCTGTTCTGACGTGTTTGAAGCTAGATACTGTATAAAAACTACTGGTATATATAATGGTAAGTTAACAAATCCATTTTTTTTTAGTTCTAAAAATAATAAGATTAAATAATTCAAGATCCTGATTTTTAAATTAAAATTTTTTTTATCTTGCCCCAACGAAAAAACATAAATTTAAAAAAAGAGAAATTAATGTGCATTGTGAAAAAAAGAGAAATTAATGTGCATTGAATATCTCAACAATTCAATCTATGTAGTGAGTGACATTTTAAGGCGCTTCAATAACTGTAGACTTAGAAAATATCTTAGAATTTTATCTTTATCCGGTTTAATAAAAGAGGGAGAAAAAAACTTCAACTTTCAAAAATCAACTTTGTTTGCAGCAGAACTTTCCATTAAGTGTGTAGACCATTATAGGTTCTTAACATGGACGCTGCCACCCCCAGTGGCGGATCCAGCGGGGGGGGGGGGGNGGGTCGTGACCCCCCCCCCAATTTTTTTTTTTTTTATTATTCAAAAATAAAAATAATAATTTTTCAATAGTTTACAAAAGTTACAAAAATTATTTAAGGGGGCATATACACCTATGTAGGTCGAAAAAATCAATTTTTTCCAGCTAATTATGTTTTTCACTGTTTCAAGACTTGTAAGCAGGACTTGAAGTGCCCAACGATCTTTCCAAAATTATTAATGGTTGTGACATCGATTTGTACCCATCAATCAATATGTTGTTGAGAATTTTAATAACTCAGCCAGTTAGTGCAGCAACAGCTGAACGTTCCTTTTCAGCTCTTCGAGTTCTCAAAACTTGGCTTAAAGCAACTCAAAGTCAAGAACGATTAAATGGACTCGCATTATTAAACATTCATCGAGGAACTGATTTGGATATTCAAAAAATCATTGACAGATTTGCCAAAGTTTTTAAAAAACTCATTACATTTATTATTTAAAGATTTTAAATACTTGAATTATTTATGTATTGTCCTATTGTTCATTATGAAAAAGAAAAATAAGACTAGCATTAAAAACCCCAGTTTTTTTTTTCCTTCAAAAAAAAAATTTATTGTAGGGAGGGGGGAAATCTGAATCTATGACCCTCCCCAGGAAAAATTTCTGGATTCGCCCCTGATCACCCCCCCCCCCACCNACCCCAGGTTTTTTTTTTTTTCAAAAAAATATTCAAAAAAAAATTTTTTTTATAAAAAAAATTTATTGTAGGGAGGGGGGAAATCTGAATCTATGACCCTCCCCAGGAAAAATTTCTGGATTCGCCCCTGATCCCCCCCCCCCTCACTCAATCAGCATTTTCAGAAGATATAAGTTGGCATTATACGGTTTTCCGTTTTGCTCAGCTCTTGCAATCACAAGGTCTGCCAATCAGAATGGCAGACGTATATTTCGTGTAAATCTAAAATTTTAACGACCTTTTTTCTGACAAAATTATACTTTTAGAATTCAGCAATCGGCTTTTTCTAAGATGTATAGTTTGGTTTTATAAGATTGTTATTATTCAGCTCTTGCCCCTATTTTTCAGCTCTTGCAATCACAAGGTTATCTGCCAGTCAGAATGGCAGACATATATTCGGCGTTATTCTAAAATTTAACGTCTTTTTTTCTGACAAAATTATATTATTATAATTCAACAATCAGCTTTTTCAGAGAGACGTAATTTGGTTTTATACGGTTGCCCATTTTACTCGTCTTCTGAAACGTAAAATTCAAGGCCATCTTCCAATCAAAATGAGCGAGATATATTGGTCATTATTCTAAAATTTGAATGTTCTTTCCTTTTTATGACGAAATTATTCAATTAAAATTCAGCAATGAGCTTTTTCAAAAAGATATAACTTGGTTTTATACATTTTTCCGTATTCAGACTTTCGAAACGGATCGTTGTTTTGGCTCAATTCATGTTAAACATCAGCACCGGGAATTTATCATCGAATCAATTTTCCTGAGTCTGAACAAAATTTTAAAAATATTAATTTTAAAAATACACGAATATACAGTATTAACTAAAATTATATACTGCATAAATTTTTTAACTTAATATAATAATAATAATTTTAAGAAAAATAGTGGGAATTCTAAATAAAAATTAGCAAGTGTTGTTTATCCAAATCTAATAAATCAAAATCTAGAGCTAATAAGTTTCGCTTCCTACCTAATTTTGTAAGACTGCTGTCATCTGATACTCTATTATCAAAAGCATGGGGAGTAAGAAAAAAAAAAGCGAAGAATCAAAAATTTTATTAAATTCCATGACAACAATGGAATAAGACCCATTAGAGGACTATAAAACTCTTCTTGATAAAACTTTTACACGATTTTTCGATCGTTTCGTTTTAAATCCAGAAGTTTCACTCTAAAACAAATCTAAGTACAACTATGATTGAGTACTTATTTTCTCTTATGTTTGCTGGTTAGTTTAGTTACCTTTATCTGATGAAATTTTAATCACTATACATTATTCCTTTGTTATGAGGCCCGTGGGACCCTTGTTGTCATAGTAACAGATGCCAAATCGTCGCTTTAAGGAATTCATGTTACTATCTTGTAAACAGATTCTTGTACGGTTGAGATCGTGACTATTGCGATTTCGGATTTAGAAAATGAAAGATAATCCCGTAAATTTTAGTTATCGTCTAAATCTGTCCCAGAAATATGGAGGTATAAGTACTATGCAAAATTATCTTTGTAAAATCGTTTTTTCTGCGACAATTTGCTTCTGATAAAATTTTAACTCCCTTCCAAATCTTATGCAAATTAGAATTACGTTCATGTGTAATTAATGAAATGTCTCTTAATTTAGGTCAATCAAGTTTAAGCTAAATTTTTAAATATATGATGGTTCATTTTGTTCATTTCTGTTGCTTTTGCTATCATTTATACTATTAGTATCATTTGGATTTACGTATATAGAATTAACTGTTTAAATATAATATTTTAATTGCAAATATTTATGTAATTTTTATTTATATGCTAAAATCATTTAATTTATATGCTTATAATCATATATTTTTTTTATATTATTTTATTTATGTAATAAATCGTATAATACATGCACACACTTAGTGTTCGATGATCTTTTTACATTACATATATTTTTAGAACCCTTGTCAAAAATGAAGTCAATTAATTATATATATTGGGGTTGGTAAATTGATAGGTAGGATTTTTTTACCTTGGTATAGTGACAATTTTTAATTATCTAATGGCAAAAACTGCATATTTTTTCCTTATATTACTTTAACCAATAGATGACATCGCAGTAATATTAAACATCCGAATTATTGTTTTGGGATTAAAAACAAAAATTCATAGCTAAAAGGTCTTTTTTTTTAAAAAAGTTTTAAATGTATGATAATTTTAATGTATGATTATTTTAATGTATGATATATATTTTTTTACCTCATTTTAAAGTATGTAAGTTTAAGTGGCACAACACAAAATTAAAGTGAAATCGGTCAAATAGTTCCTGAGTAATCAAATTTTAAGAAAGTCGAATCTTTAAAATTCAATTTCTCACTATTCGACCGATTTCACACAAATCTTATATTTTGCCATGTAAACTTACATACTTTAAAATGATGTTAAAAATTGTGCACCTTACAATTCGAAATTTTTCGACTATTATTAAATAAAATATTAAAAAATAATAAATATTTATTAAAATTAATTTTCTTTGAATAAACGAATTTTATAATTGTGTGAAAAATTTTCCAATTCTCTTAAAAAGCTCCCGAGATATTCGACCCCCTATATTTTGGGGGTCAGAAATCCGAAGCCGTCGAAAAAAAGGTATGTTTATTCAGATAAAGTATGTTTTTGTGTCTGATTTCGTAACTTAAGTAATCACCACAGCCCAAATTTTGATGAATTTGGGCTGTGGTGATAACGATATCTGTTCTTTCATAAAATGCGTTTATGGAGGAAACATTGTTTTAAATTAAAATTCTTATTTAATTATTCAAAATTTATTTTTTAATGGCATTTCTTCCTATTTTTAAATGCATGTTTAGTATTTATTTTAGATTATCGAAATCTGTGTTGTGGTGATAACGATAAATATGGATAGTCTCTCAAAAAATCTCTTTCTTTGTTTTAGGTGAGCTGGGTACTCAGCGATTTTGTTCCCCAAAAGAGTTAGGAGATTACTGTGAATATGTCCGCCATTACGACGGCAGAGAGTACAGAGGTTGCGTCTACACATGCTACACCGACGGCTGTAACAGTGCCCATTCCATGTTTAAAATGTCAACTTTAACGAACCTTATCACCATTTTTACAACCCTTCTTGCCATTTTTAAAGTATCACGATGAAATACATCCAACCTTTCATATATATAAATCAAGTATTTTGGAATGTAATTTAGTAAAAACGTGCTGATTTAACAGTTACTACTAAAACTTGGGCCTGCTTAGTATGGAGTACTTAACTATATTTAAAGATCTGTTACACTTTATTATCTATTTCATCTTGTTCTAAACCTGCTATGTTGAGGCTGTCATGTTTCTAAATATTAAATATATTGTTGCAATTGTTGGCGTGACACAATCGAATTACCTCACGAGCGACGTGCCAGTTAAAATGCATCATCTGCTGACTATTACGTTTTCTGCTGAAGATTTTTAACAGTGGTGGCAAAATAATTAAGAAAGAGCAACCCGATAACCCAAGAAGGGTCTGCGCCAAGGCGAAATAGAACAGATATGTTAAGAGGAAACAGAATTTAAACCATAGATTTTGAACACCACTTGAACATAAAAATTTATTACTGTGACAAATTGCGATGGTCGCTTATTTGTGTTTAAATTTTTCGGCCGATAATTTAATATTCTATGACATTTAATATTAAATTTTTCGGCCGATAATTTAATATTCTATGACATTTAATATTCATAATTTAATATTGAATTTTGTTGAAAGTTTGATTCTTGTTTTATTTCATCGAATTCATCAAGTAAATTTAATAAAATATTAGAGTACTTATAATATAAAAATCTTTTTTTCTTCAATTACTTTATTGAGATACTACTGTGACGCATTTGTTAAACGCGATATTTCTTTTTGAAATAGACTGTGAAGATTAGACTAGATTGACTGTGGAAACTAATATAGATGGTAAAATATAATATAGGGGCGCTTTAAACAATATCGTATGTTTACAAGAATAATTTTATTCAATCTAATTTTGAAAATTTATTTTTCAGTATTCTTTTAGTTATATTACTGACAACTACGTTCTATTGATATTGCAGCTTTTTTTTTTTTTTTTTTTTTTTTTAACATTTTTGCTAGCTTTACTAAAAAGTAGTTCTCAATTTCAAGAAAAAATTTAGAGTTTTTCGATTTATTTTACAATGTGTCTACATCCAATAATTAAATAAATTAATTTAAATGAATACTATTTTTTCTGTCATTTCATATTATATGATAAATGGCATATTGTGTTCCCTCTGCAAAATGTAGGAAGTTTTCGACTTTTTCTAATGAAACAAAATAAATATCTGCAAAACTTAATTAGTAACTCTAGGTGATTTCTTGTTACTAATTGTTAACAGACAAAATTTTATTGAAAAATTGCGACGTACATAAATGGATTAAAAGTTAATAATTGATTAATAATTAAATAATAAAAATTTTCTAAAATTAGTCAATTCTAATAAAAAATTTTAATGAGTTCTACAATTAACATTAGGTAATAGAGATTTTGCAAAGCGTTACGTTTCCCCCTAACTTTAACGCAATTTGAGCCTCACAGAGCTTTTCCGAAAATGTCCTACACGTCACAATGTCGCTATGAGGTAGATAATAAGGTTAGCGTTTAAAAGGTTAACTTAAAGCAAATGCTATGCAAAAGCTCTCTACTGTCATCAGTTTACATATTAACATTCGAGGTATTGTTATGTTGTGTGAAGATGGTTACAAAACTAAATATTTTCTTCATTATTGTAACCGCAGATGAATGTTAAACTGTTGTAGTAATGTGTGTCTGACTATTCTGAAATACATATCAGATAATGCTCATTGTGAGTTATTTTTTGGAAGTTATGTGATTACATTCAAGTAGTATTGTATTTTAGAAATCATGTTCATTAGAAATGTTTAAAATGAGAATTATTCAATGTGAAGTGTTATAATAATGCAAAGCAATCTTCATAATCAAGCTAACTACGTTAAAAGAAATAATTGAGGCATTTATATCTTATTTCGCTATGTATTATTATTTCACTTTTTGTAAGCATGTGTAGATCTGGCATTTTATAAATTACGTGTAAATGGCACTATCAAGTTCTTTTTTTTTATTTTAATTTGCTTAGAAATTTATATTTTTTATTGCATATATACTGTGTTATTTTGTCATTATACAAGTATTTTTCTCATTGAACAAGGTTTCAATTTTGCTGTCTTCTTTTAATTTTGCCTGTGTATTTTGTCGTAACTTTATTAGATTTGAGAAATAAACAATTATAAACCGTAATGTTTGAAGTGTTTTATGTGAACACATTTTCCAAATAAATCTAGACTCTATTTTGTGTAATTTTATAGTCCATATATTTTCTGTAGAAAGGAAATGATAATTGATAGGACATTTAAAGCACTACTTGATAGAAAACGTTTGAACACTTTTATATAAATATTTCTTTTAAAATTATTTATCTCAATGAAACTTTAATATAATTGAGGGTGATTATAAATACCTTTGAATGTTCAATACGCATATGATTGAAATTGAAGAAATACTTAAGTTGAATTTATTGATAATTCCTTGTAAAGTGTTGTTATTTATAATCCTTTTCTGGCAGACGTCAGATGAGTTCTATGGAATTATTGACATTTAAAATGCTGATAACAGTCAAGGGATTTGATGTTATGTCCTCCCTTGTATGTCCAGAATGCTGCAGGACGTGTTCAGGCTGCGCTTGAGACACACTGCGTTACTTATAGGTCTGAATGGACTTGGATCCATCTACAAAAGAAATATTCTTGATAAGTAGGCTTGCTTAGGCGATTTATGAACTCCTGCCACAATTGATGCCCAGTAGAGTGCCTTCTTCTAGACCTGAAAATAACCACTCGCCTCTACCGCATGGCAAGTCAACTTGTCTTGCAAATGACCCCATTTGTTGTCTTAGGGTTCGTAACGTAGCTGTGCGATCCATTAAGGCTATGTGGATAATATGCCTGTCTTCTCTACTGTTAGTGATGGGGGGCCGCTGAGATCCTGCACGGCATTCCATATGAACCCATCGATTCCATATTCTGCTAACAGTCATGTGATCTTGACCAACGCGTGCAGCAATACTTCGGTATGATAAACCGCAAGCCCGGTAGGCCACAATTTGACCACTATCAAACTCAGACCCGTGCTGGTTGGCATTTCTCCTTACAAGAACAACGCTCAAATTCAATTTCTCTATGAGAAACTTACTGTCAAATCTGTTCTTTTATACACATTGTAGGTGTCGCTACTGCTTTGCATGAATTCTTTGATAAGCTAATCATTTGCATGCCACAATATGCTTTATCCGTCCTGCAATTTCACGTTCGTGGTGTGTCGCCTTCCTGGTGTAGCAATTTTAATGACCAGTAAAGTAATATAAAATGAATTTCAATTAAAGAAAAAGTGTTTCTTTAATCATCCAATTATATTTACCACATCGGTATTCTTATATTGCACGCCATTAGAATAACAAACGATGCAATTTTGTTCACTACAGAATAAATTTACAAATTTCGATGCTGCTCACCATTTAAGGGAATCGATGCCCTTACATTTGGGGCAAGTGACAAAAAGTAAAATAATTTTTATAATTTCGACTTTTTCGTTTATTTAAACTTGTCATTACATTTTTCTAAGATATTTCTAGCTAAGAGACAAATGTCTTATGGCAGAATTTCACTTCCTCTTATCAAAAAATTTTAAGTTCATGGCCATCGGGCTAAGTTTTCCTGATTTAAATGCTTATTTTTTTTTCTTCATGTTACGCAGATGTCGGTTAATTTTCCTTAAATCTTACAAAAGTTTTGATAGTTCTTTATTCAAGATTTTTTTTAATCTTCTGGATCGAGTACAATGTTGCTAAATCGCAGTTTTGTGTAATCTGATACATAAATCGAATTTTCAACAAAGGGATAAAATTTCTTTTGAAAATGTTGGTTTGAATATTTTTTCAGGGAAAACCTAAAAATGTCCTTTATATCAGGTGGGCAGATATTATGGCGTTATTAGTTAAGTTTAGCCCATGGTTCCAATCCAATCGATGACTTTTTGACAATCGATTATTTTGCGGCAATCTTATTTTTGAGGACGAGCATATCTGTCGTGTTCCCTTAACATAAAGCTCTGCTTGGTTTGCTTATTATAATCAAAATTGCCTAGTATGAGAGCACTGGGGCAATTACCTCATGCCTTGCCAATGCACATTTGACTACATGGGGTGAACCAAACGCTTTAAAATTTAGATTGAGGGAATGCGACAATATGTCCGCCAACATTAGGTAGATAAATCATTGACTGCTGAATATTGTTGGAGCCTTGGCAAAATTTCTATTTATTAATTAATTTTTTAACTAATTCATTTTTTAATTCAAAATTATTAAACCCATCCGGTAAAATAAATATCTCGCAATTTGTATATTTTCCTCGATTTTATTTGCACTGAAATCAAAAATTCATGACTTAATTACATTTAGCAGTTAACTTTCTGTCTAGAACGGTGAATTTAAAGACAATTTATTTGTGATAGGGGGAAAAAAACGAAATTTATTTTAAAGCATTTTCAAGTAAATCGAAAACATCATATGTTGTAGAAACCTTCTTTTAAAATGTTTTTTCGTGATTATATTATTAAAGTGTTCTTTTATTTTGCATATCTACAGGTAACTGTTGCTTTGGCGATGCTTATATTTAAAAAAAATATTTCCTTGGAACAGATCGTGTCAACCTAATTGTTAGCTAAATTAAACGAACGTGTTTATTTAATTAATGTCAAATAGAGTTTACTGATTTTTGAAACAACGGCATTAGTAGCTATCAACTTTTTGAAGAATTCCATTTTAAAAAGTTGCATCTCATTAAATTTACGAAAAAAGTTTTATATTAATATCCGGAAAGTGCAAACATACAAAACGAAGTTTTTATAAAAACAAATACTTAAGTTAATATTTGTATCAAAAGAGCAAAGTTTTAAATAGTACATATCAAATACTCATTGATAATTTAATCGCACTTTATTCCTAATTTGAATACTTGAAAGAGATTTCACACGATTAAATTTTTCATAAAATCTCATTTTTCTATGATTTTTTCAAGAAATGTGAATTATCATATTGATAGAAACTCTTGTACGTTTTTCACCTAGTACTTATTTTTCGAGTGGAATGTCAATTTATTTCTCCCCTTCCGCTTTGTTTGAAATACTCAATTGCTAAATTTAAATTTATGTTAATCAAATTTTTTTTTTTTTTTCAACACCACCACCTTTTTTTCCAGTTTTCTTTTCTTTGATTTTAGTTATTTTAATGTTGTAAAATGCTGTTAGATGGCAGCACTAAATATTGCCAGATATAAAAGTTTTTACAAAAGTACACAAGAATTTGCTATAGCATTTCCTATAATAAATGAATGATATTAAATGAAATTTAAAAAATTAGAAAACAATAAAAAATAAAATAATTGAATAGTTAAAAATAACATTTGATGTTCTTAAAACCTTTCATTTTAGGGCTGATTCGTTAAACGTTCTTTCCTTACAATTATTCAAATGCTTATGAAAAATCAGCTGAATTTCTTTTATTAAAAGGGAAATAGTTGGAATTTGCGGTAAGGTCGAATGCTCAAAAGCTCATGCTAAAAAACTTATGCTCAAAAAACTACACAACATTAAAAGATACTAATTTATTTACAAAACAATTTTTGTTAAAATGTATGTTTTAGTATAAAATATATATAACAAAAATAACTTTTTTACAATTTCCAGTTAGATTTGATTTTCAACAAGAGCAACAGTTACAAACAATATCAATCACAATTTTAATCTAAAATTTGCAACGAAGTTTGCTTTTCATATACCAAGAAACAATGCACAAATATTGCTCCAAGACTAAAATTACAGTTTTATTGATTTTTGAAGAAATTATAAATTAAAAACATTTGTTTTTAATTTTGAAAACAAGCGTCTCACATATAATGATGAAACAATTCCATCAGATTTATTACTATAAAATAACATTAACAGTGGTTATTAAACCATTGTTAAAAGTTTAATTTTCTGATTGATCCCATTATCAGGTTTAATCCTAAATGAATATGGGAGATTTAAAGATAAAAATTAAGAAATATTTAAAAGTTTTCATTATTTTAAATGAAGGTACTTTTTATTTAGACTAATAAAGCTTTTATAATAACAACACTTTTTGCCATAAAGTCCTTTATACAATTTTTAGAAATTTATTACATTTCCTCAATAATTGCTCTAAAAGGAGATCTCAAAGAATCGACATTACTGACTATCAAAGCTCATCCAAAAGTCCTTTATAGAATTTTTAGAAATTTATGACATTTTCTCAATAATTGCTCAGAAAAGAAATCTCGAAGTATAGACAATACTGACTATCAAAGCTCATCCAAAAGTCCTTTATAGAATTTTTAGAAATTTATAACATTTCCTCAATAATTGCTCAGAAAAGAAATCTCGAAGAATAGACATTACTGACTATCAAAGCTCATCCAAAAGTCCTTTATAGAATTTTTAGAAATTTATGACATTTCCTCAATAATGCTGAGAAAAGAAATCTCGAAGAATAGACATTACTGACTATCAAAGCTCATCCAAATGTAAAAATATTCAAATAATACAAATATACAAAGTTCATGAAGTAAATGCAATGTGACTTAATGAAGTATTGATGAAAACAACTTTCAAAATATACAACAATTCATCAGGATAAGTTTCATAACAATGCATCAGGATGTCTTAATACAACAGATTATTTTCAGACCACATAAAGTTAGTTTAAACTACTCAAGTTAGATTTTGACTGTAAGACCACGTTAAGCTAATTAACTTGGAGGTCTTCGCATACAATATTCTAATTTCTAATAGCTTTAAATAATTAATTTTAATTTCATAAGAACTTTCAGGACTTTTTTGAGGCAAATAGCAATTAAAATCTTTGCATGGTGTTCTGCAATAATCGTCCTTATTTTTGGAATACTTACCAAAAAGGAAGTAAAAAAAGTATACACATTACGGATTACACTTTAATACTTAAGCGAAAAGCATCATCCAAACTTGAATAATCACTTGCAATGAAAACGAGTCAGAAAATGTCAAAACTTGTTTGATTGCTGAAGGAAACAAAGAACAGTTGAAATATGAATTCTTAGAAACACCTCTAAGGTTCACATAGCAACTAAACTGGTCTTGATATTTTTATTTTCGCGTTTCTCACAAATGGTTAGACAGACTTCTGAAGGGCTTTTGATTCTTCCTTGCTTAAATATTAAATAGCGTTGCCTAATGTGAGTACTTTACTTTTTGACAAGTATTCTAAATGCATATGAAAAGTGATCATTTTGGAACACCCTGCACGCACTACATTAAACTTAATTTAAATTTCTAAATAGCAGAAATTAGTTAGGTACATTTCAAGTTGAGCAGCAATTCCTTTTTTTTAATAAATAAATATATTTGTAAATAGTCGCAACAGATGAGTAAATTTTATAAAACTGCATGGTATGAAAAATATACAAATATGATGTTAAAAAATGGATTAAAAAACGGTCGATAAACAGATGAATGTGACTATATACAAGTATGAAACAAATGATGTTTGTAAAATGTATGACATTAGATGCACATGCGAAATATTTTTTTTCTTTTTATGAATTACAAGTTACAATAAATATTTTTTTTAATTATAGCCTTTTTAATTTATTGCACTAAAACTGTGTTAAAGCTTTTTATAATTGCAAGATGATTCTTTCTTATATAACAGATTTTATTATACGTGCTAATTTTAAAAAATGGCATATGACCAAAATGTCATTAAATTTCAATGACTACTTTTGTCAAAAATGAACTTAGTTTTGTTATGCCCTCATTACTTTATATAAAAACGGTTTGTTATTTCCTAATTTTGCTAACTAATTTAAAGATTTCCATAAAATATGTACAACTTTTTTGAAGGATGTCGATTTCATTGAGTAAATCACAATGACTGGAATGTTAATCACGATTTCGCATGTTATTCTACAACAAAGTACGGGCACATATGAATCTCTGAACCATAGAAACAAGTAATATGATATGTTCCAAAAATAATTTACAATGTTAACTATATTAGTAACTGGCATTAAAATGGCATTTTTCAAAAGGCTCCCACTCCAAGACATCCGATTGTCGATTGTTGAATAACTAATCTTGTTGAATAATGGAACAATCAAATCATACTGCGTTAAGTAGGCAATATACAAAGTACAGTATGTTGAAACAGTGTAGTTACATCAACAACAAGATGAGTCCTGCGATTCCAGTGTTATACCGGGTATGGGAGGAAATGATACTGAATCATAACTGCTGTGACACTCAGGCGTCAACTCCAAAGGGCAAGTGGACGCCGTAGAATCTGACCAGCTATCACAAGTAGCTAGACAACAGTCTTCAGAGTACATGGATGATGGGGTGCTCGATCTATCTGAGGAATCATCAGGATGCAAAATCCTGTCCATTTCATTGCAAAATGATGGATATTTTTTCACGAGTTCACGTGGATCTGGAGTTGAATTTGAAATGTCTTTGGGAATTTCATAATCCCCAACTGCATCAGGGGTGCTTGAAGGATTTTTGAGCTGGATAGTGGAGGAATATGTTGGATTGCACTGCGTTTGGTAAAAGGCCATCGGTAGTGGTTCATTGGGTGGTGGCGTTTTCTGGAAGGTTAGTGGGAGTTGGTAGCCATCTGCATCTTCATTGTCGCCCAGTATTTCGAGGTATTTGTTGGCGGTGCGCCTTATTTGTGATGGGTTTCTAAAGGACGCAGACATTTGATTTCTTTCAGTCTCGAATGGTGTATGCGTCCATGACAGAGATCTTCTAAATGAGGAAGGGTTTGTCTCATGCTGAAAAAAATCGAAAGAAAATATCCAAATGAGAAAGTAATAATTTAAGTAATTACATGATAATTCAAACATATTCGAGGGAAAATATCATAATTGCTTTTATCATAAAAAGCAGAACTAAGGCTTAAGATTAAGGCTTAACATATTTTTATATAAATATTTTCCTATGCATAAATGTGGCATTTACTCGAGAGTAAAATTTAATAAATTATAAATTTAATAAATTAAAATAAAATAAAATAAAAAATAAAATAATTATTAAATTTAATAAATTATAATAAATTCCACTCTACGTTATAATAATTATCAAGTAAACGTTATAATAATTATCAAGTAAATGTTATAATAATTATCAAGTAAACGTTATAATAATTATCAAGTAAAATGCTATAAATAAATATTTGATGTGGATGGTTTAAGAAATTACTTACATCAAGAAGTGTTGCTGGAAAGCTATGAGTACTACGAGAATCTAAGTTATGATCTAAAAATTTGTTCTGATCATTTTCTGCATCAATGCCTCGTCCAATATACGTTCCTAGAATTTTCATAAAATAATAATTATATTTGCAAGCATAGAAAGATGTAACTTTTTTAAACAACTATACTGTTAATAAGTTACATCATCTAAAATGACCATTGAATTCAATGCTTATTCATAAAATTTAAGTAAAAAGTAGAAGCTGCTGTTTTTAGTTTTCTTACGATTAAAAACTAGACATAATCATATTATTTATTAGTACAAGGTATTCCATAACTACTGTTCATAATATGTGTTTTTAGAATCTTTGTCAAAAAGAAGTCTAAAAATCCTGCCTATTTGTTCTTTAACGTAGAATTTTTATTAAACATATTTTTCATACTTTTTTTCAAGATTTTTTGCAAATTTAAGTCAAAATAAGGGACAAATATTATATTTAACTTGTTAATAATTCATGGTTATGAAATACAGCATGAAACAGCTGTGTCTTTTTCTGCGTTAAAGGAAAAATCTTCCCAACAAGTCTCACTTCCAAACAATAGTTTTTCAAATTTGTAGTTAGTTAGATCTAAGAGAAACAGTAATTCATCATTGAAATTTCATTAATTTACAAAATTAATCATCGATAATATTTAGAATACTTTACTTTTAATATAATTCTGATAATCTAACATATTTTTTTATAATACCAAGATATATATTTTAGTTTGTAATTGAAACGCCAGAAAATAATATCTAAAGACGATGTGTCATCTGCGTCAAAGGGTTAGGGGTCGCAAATTAAAATTTAAGTTAGGAAAAAACAAAATATAGATCGAAATGTAACGAATCACAATTGAGAAAGACCACACTAAAATAATTGAAATTTGTTTGATTGTCAGAAAAGTATAGATAAGTTTGAAAGTGATTTATAGAAACTCCACCGAATTTCAAAAGGCAATCAAACTGGTTTTGATGTTTTTCGCTAGAGATTCGATAGATTTCAGGTGGTATATTTGTTTTTTCCTCGTGTTAATATTAATTTGTGATCCCTGATAGCATGCTTATTTAACCTCGTTTTTGACAGGAATTTTTAAAATACATATAAATACATAAGTATATAATAAAGTATAAAATATACATAAAATACATATAATATATAAGTATAAAATATACATGAAATACATATAACATGGCATTACGCATAGTGCCATGTTAATTATTGCTGTGAATAAAGCATGCAATTACGATGTGGCAAAATTATTATTCACCATAAAAGAATTACATCCGATTACATCATTTGCTATTGCTGTTAATAAATATCACCATTAAACTATGATGAAAGATATTAAGCACCATCACCATTTATTACAAAGTGCAGTTTCATTTATTAAGGTGCATAAAAAGTGCAACAAAAAACTCCTAAATTAAGTTCTACTTAATGTGACGAATATTACGCATTATCAAAGTATAAGATGCAAAAAATTGCATCTTAATACTGTAGAATATTATGAATAAGTACCACCATCAAACGATGGTCAAACTTTTTTGGTACCATCTCCATGTTGTGCTAAGTGCAGATTCTTTTACTGAGGTGCATAAGAAGTGCAAATAAAGAATCTTAAGCCACGTTCTACCTGATGCTGCGAAGTAAGATATTTCCGTCAGGGAAGATGTAACAGATGAAGTATTCAACACGCTTCCACTATATCCTAAGTTGTCAAAACCTAATAAATCAATATTTCTGGATGTATTGGATTGTTTTTTGGCAGGTATTATATACATACAGGTAAGGATTAAATAGTGTTAGAGTTCCTATGTATAAAGAAAGTTTAGAGAGTTGCGACAAACGAGTAACAATCTGTGATTGGCCTACAGACAAAATTTACCGTAAAAGGAAGAATGGAATGTTGTTTTATATTAAACACGCAACGCATTGATGAGGCATCTGTATCCGGCTGTTTCTCAAAATTATGGACACGGATTCTTTTTGCTTGAATTTAAAATTATTTATAAATTATTATTTTAAAGTTATTGCTAATCAAAGTATCTGTTATAAGTAAAATTTATGTAAAATAACCATCTATTTTGTAAAATAATTTGCTTTAGAAGGCAATAATAATTAAACTTTCTCAAGTTATTTATATTTTTATATACCGATAAAAAACCTATTAATGTTTTGATAAGGCAATTGCCTTGCCAAAATATTATTTCTAAAAGAAAATTTAAAAAAAAAACTAAAGTAAAAGTTTACATATTTATGTGCAGACGAGGATTGAATCAGTTTATCAATTCCATGCGCAATTCAGTCGTAGTTACGTGATGTTTGGCTAATAAAAAACGAAACATGATTTTGACACGGATTAAGAAAGCGTTATTCGAAAGAATCGCGAAGTGTTGTACCTGACTTCACTATTCTTCTCACATCAATAATTTGAGAATTTTTTAGGCTGCTTGCCGCCACTTCTGATGAATAGGAACTCCAAGTAAAAATGATGCAAAGTTAACGAAATGCTAGAAAATAAAGATAATAAAGCAGAAAAAATACCTAAATTAGTGTCATTGAAGTAATTGTAGTTATAAACAGCTGTTAATACACTAGGTGTCTGAATGAGTTTGTTTCGTATTTCTTGCAACGCACGAAGGCAGTAGCAAAATGTAGGACGATCATCAGCATTATAACTCCAACATCTTGCCATAATATCGTGCCTAAAAATATAAAAAAACAAAAATGTAGAAATAAAACTACATAACTTAGAGATTATATTCTTTAGCAATATGGTACTTCTCGAAAATTGGGATTTTTCTTTTTAAGAAAAAGATAATTAAATATGAAATATAAGGATAATTTATAAAAGATCCTGCATTTTGGAAGGAAAAAATATATCATATAATCAAAATAATTTTTATCATAATTTTATCAGTTAACCTAGGGAACAATTTTTGTTTGCTGCATTCATACAAATACTTGATCTTGCTTAATTCCGGTGTAGGGAATTCAAATCTGAAATTAATTTTGCTCCTAAGCCTACAGTTTTTTTTAAATCACATTTTTCGTCAAAATGCACAAGTTTACAAAGCGTTATATATAACAGGGGCCACGTAAATGTTGCAGCAAACTTCTAGGGGAGTTAAAGCACATCATCATTATTAAAATTGCATAGGAATCTATTCTCGGAAATGTCGTCGTACGCAGCTAGGGGTACTTGCATATTATATCCTGTTCAGAAAAGACACAAAAACAGTTTATAATAGGGGAAGTACCCCTATCGGCTTATGATGACATTTTCCGGGAATGGGTTCCAATTATTGCAACCTCCTGTTATATATAACGTTTTTAACATTGCACATTTCGATAAAAAATATAGACTAAAGTATTAATTAAAAAAACTGTAGCTTGGCGAGAGAAACCAATTGTAGATTTGAAATTAGTGACGTGAAAATATCCAAGATCCATTTAAAAATCTCATGCATCAGGAAAAAAAATGTCCCCAGTTCCCCAGAAAGAATCACAAAAGCCGTTACAATAATGTAAAGATTGATTTAATTTCATAAAATATAAATTAGAAATATATCATGTGCCGTTTAACAAATTGAGTGCTTATTAACCTTTAATTGAAAAATTGACTTGTTCATTCAATAATTCGTCCAGTCACCTTATTTCCTGATTTTTTTTCATACATCCATTTGCTCATGCGCTCATTCAATGATTTTCTGATTTATAGATTTATTGATTAGAGTTCATTCTTTCTTCATTCTCTAGCTATATCAATATTCAGTCATTGAAATGATTACAAAAGCGACGCATAAACATTATGATTTATTAAACGATAAAGTATCAATTATTTCCTCATATTATTTCAACTTACATGTCATCAGGACAATTTTTCGGTTTATCCAAATGGTTTCCTTCACGGACATAATTTAAAACTTCCATGTTAGATTGAGCAGGATATGGCTGTTGTCCCAAAGTCATCACCTCCCACAGCAGAACTCCAAAAGCCCTAAAAAAAGTGCCACAAAATTACTCAATTTAATCGAAAAAAACAAGCCTTTAACAAAATAATTTTTTGATTATCAAGCATCTTCATACCATACATCCGACTGGTTAGTAAATATGCCATCAATCAAAGATTCTGGTGCCATCCACCGGACAGGTAGCAATCCCTCACCTTCTTTTCTGTAGTAATCGTTTTTATAGATATCACGGGCAAGTCCGAAATCTCCAATTTTCACGATTCTGTGCTCCCGGTCATAGCTGGACACAAGGCAGTTCCTGGCAGCTAAATCACTGTAAAATGCAATGTGTAAGTATTAAAACGCCGTTATATAAATGGAAAAACACAAATCTGTTAAATACTGTAATACGAGAGCTGTGATGGCTCAGGGGATAGAGCGTTCGCCTTTCAATGAGGTAAACTGGGGTTCGATCCTGGCGATGGCTGGTCGATACGAATTCCGCATCCGGCTTGCACCGACCTCAGTGCTGACGTAAAATATCCTCAGTGGTTGATGAATCATGGGTTAGATCACCAACCACTGAGTGGTAGAAGAATCACTGATTATATTCCTCTTGCCGACAAACTAATTACTACGGGAGATTTTCGCGGTTTTCCTCTCCATGTAACGCAAATGCGGGTTAGTTCCATCAAAAAGTCAGTCTAGTCTGAAAGAGCTGTGGTGGTTCAGGGGATAGAGCGCTCACCCACTAATTAGATGAACCGGGTTCGAATACCAGCGATAACTGGTCGATACGAATTTCGCACCCGGCTCGCAATGACGGCAGTGCAAACATGAAATATCCTCTGTGGTAGACGGATCATGGGATAGAGTCCCCTTGTCGTCAGGCTAACCGTGGGAGGTTCTCGTGATCTTCCTCTCTATGTAACGCAAATGCGGGTTAGTTCCATCAAAAAAAGTCCTCCATGAAGGCAAATTTCTCCCAATACTTGATCCAGGAGTTCCCTTGTTTTCTGGATAGGGTTCAAAATTACTTGGCTACGGAGTTGAACATTAGTAGTCGTAAATCCAAAAATTGGGTCGTCTGTTCAGCGACGTTTATAAAAGAAAATAAAATACTGTAATACGAACTTAATGATAGTAACTCGTTTTGGTGTAAGGGTATTGAATGCATACTCCATTTCAAATAAGCAAGTATTATAAAGGATGTTCAATAATTAAAAAATAAAACAGTCACGCAACAGCCCGTTGTGAGCGAGGTCGGGGGTCTTAGAGATTAAGGCTCCACAATTTCATGGACAACGGCATGATTGTAGCAATATGGTCAGCAATGGGCAGAGATCGCCTTTAATTTTCCAGACAAGATCCATTCATCTAAAGCTGAGTGGCTTCAAGCCGCCACTGGGGTTCGAGTGTAAACGATTGAGCCATTGTATCTCATGCTCTGTGATGATTACCTTTAATCTATACATTTTTTAAGTATTTGTCTGAAATTAAGTAAAAAAACAATATACACACTATATCAGGGGTCTCAAACTAGGAACCCTAATTAGTGTAAAATAATAGTTTTTAGATTCTTTAATTGATTAACACGTACGTGATATTTAGTAATGAGTATCCTTAATAATGAATAATAATGTTCAGAATGAAGTCAAAACATTACGGAGATTCGGTGTCAAAAATCATTATGCGAGTAGAGAAAAAAAACATTTTTAATTTCCGATAAATTATTTTGAATATGATCGTTTTGAATATAAGAGCAAGAAAGGAATTAAAGTCATTGAAAAATAGTAATTTTTTTTTCTTTTACAATCATAAAATTTTTTTTTCTTAAAAAAATTACTCACTGAATGTATATTTAACTCATTTTTAAGAGATTTAAATGGAGATTATAAAACATCAGTGTGGTAAAAAACTAATTTGAAACATTAGATCGACTTCAAAGTCAATTATCTCAAATTTTTCTTATTATTGCATAACGCCTTCATCTACTCATTACTACAATTATGTATTACGTTATAATCTAAATTACCTCTACACACACACAGTTTTATATAAACTATGCCCTTAAAGGTAAAGCATGATCTTATGTTGGAGAAAGCAAAAGTAGTGTAATTTTATATGTACAAAAAACTAACAGCAGTGAAGTTTTATCTAATAGAAAAAACGTACCGATGAACAAAATGTAAGTCTTCTAAATACTTGCAACCTTTTGCCACGTCTATTGAAATTATAAGAAGGTCATCCAAGGTTAAATTACTATTTTGGACCTAGAAAATGATTACAAAAATATTATTAGTTTTTTTTTCTTTTTTTTCTTCTTTTAAATAGACATTTTTTCCAACAGTATGAATAGTGATAAAAAATGACAGAAAATATACTCACTATCATTGGTCGATTACTTCGAAGATAGGAGAGAAGATCACCTCCTTCCATCAATTCCAAAATTATAAAATTGGCATTATTATCAAAACAAACGCCTAAAAGCTGGAGTATGTGCTCATGCTTGAAATTGCTGTAAATATGAATGAATCAGATTGAACGAAATAATATTTTCATAAATTTTAATGAATTTTTTATGAATTTAAATAAATTTAAATGTGGGAGGAGGTAGCTTTAGAGGAAAGAAATGAAACTAAAAATTCTATTTCAGTGTTGATGATCATTTCTTTTACGAATATTTAAAAACAATTACGAGCACTTAACTGTTTTATTTACAGTTTTACGTTGTTTTAGTTTAAAATTAATGTTATGTCTACTTCTTAGTTTTCTAACAGCTTTGACATGCTTGCTTGTGCAACAAAAATACGACTGAATATATGCTAAGGCATTTGGATTCTAAGAGAAAAGGAATATATCCTTACTAATTCGCGAAAATTATTCTGTAAAAACACATTGCAAAAAATTCTGGATCAAACCTACGGTGCTGGTAATTTTTACCGTAAAATTTTACGGAACAAAAAATTTGATAAAATGCAATGTTTATAGTAGTATTTATTTGAAAATCACTGTAGTTTAATAATTATTACTGTAAAATATACGGTATAAAATTTCACGGCAAAATTAGATTTTACGCTATAGTTTAATCCAGAATTTTTAACAGTGCAAGGCAGTGTAATCCACACATTTTTTTTTTCATTGGTATTAGCAAATTTCTAATTAATGAAGTATGTAGCAGCAACAATGTTCTTGAAATTAAAACGTTGTCACTACGTCATGAAATAAAATAAAATACTTTTTCTATACTATAAATTTATAATTACCTCATTAATTTGGCTTCTTTTATGAATTCATCTTTTTCATGTTCAGTTGCACCTTTCTTCAGAGTCTAAAAAATAGTCATTTTTAATAATCATTCAGAGTCATTTTTATATAATTAATGAATTTTTTTCCAGGCATAAATATAGATAATGATTAGACGTGTGCTTTAAACAGCTCGTTTGATTTGTAATAACTAAATTAATAGAAAAATAAATGTGTTCACTGTTTAGATTTCCAAAACTTTTTGTCAACCTAGCAATGTGCACATAGATTAAATTTACCTTTATTGCTATCTTTAAAATGGGTGCTTCACTACTTAAGCCATAGACAATGCCAGAATAAACTTCTCCAAAAGCTCCACTTCCTAAAAATTCCATTGCAACTATTTGATCTTTATGGATTTGAGGCAAGGATAGGAATTCCTCATCTGATGGCAGCATGTCACTAAGGAAAAAGAGTTAACTATATTATCAAATAATCTTATCATTTGATCATTAATTTTCGGGAGAGTGGAGATATTCGCCGTATAAAATATAGCCTATTAGATCTATAGATCTCAATCCTACAAGCATGTCTAGTTCTAAGTAGGACCATCAGAACCTACTTCTGGCAACCATTCAGGACCTTGCGACACGATTACCTAAACTTTCCCTGTAAGGAAACCCTGCTTCGTGCATTAAATTATAATATGAGGCCAGTATATCAGTTAAAATTAACCTAATAGAAGAATATATATCTTATTAATCGATTTTTTTTTGTTTTGTTTGATTCTATAACCCTTGTTTAATGACTTCAGATTCTCATCGTTGTTATTCCCCATGAGCATATGTGTGCCTTATAACTGAAAAATAGTTACTTTGTTTTATTCTCTAGTTGTCTCTCTGTTTCTTCTTCTAATTTTGGGGTTATTTAGAGTAGGAAAATTCTCTTAATTTTAGACACCAGCGTAAGATCTATGCTACGACGGAGCATTCCGGTTTCTACTTTCATGACTCCTGCAGACCTGGCGTCCAATAAACAGGACATCAATTTTAATCCATATTAACTTAATTAATAAACAGGATTTTTGTTTTGCGGGATTTGATTGAAGGAGATATTTTGAAGTATAGGATGTATTCCAAAATTAAGGGAATATTTTGAAGTTATAAGAATATTCCCAATGAAAGAGTTAACATTATTTAAAATAATTTCTCTGAGAAAAAAAAAAGTACGATTAAATCTACCAGAATAGGATAAAATTTACCGTGTTTCTGGCTCTATATGAACACTAAAGAAAAGCTGTAATTTTTACGCAAGCACTTTGTATTGATTTAGTAAAATGAACATTAAAATTAGTTAATAATACGCGCTAAAATTTGGTAACTCTATCATGCTACCTTAGAGAATGGCATAAAAACCATTTAATAGGCAAAATTTGCTTTTCAGTTTTATATTTTTTACTAAATGTGTAGTAATAATAACTATTCCTGTAAACAGCTACCATATGAAAGGGAAAAACTATCGAATGGTTTAAATACCGTATATTTTGATTTTATAACCAGAATTGTTTTTTTTAAAATGCCATTACCATATAGTAGTTTTTCCAGAACTTTTTTTCTCCGCGTAGAATAGAAAATTTACCGTTTTCCCAACTGCATATTTTTGGAATTCTGTTTTAAAATTTGAATAGCAGTTGTAGAGGAAATAGAATTATTAAAACTAGTTTTTACCTCTAATTAAAATCTCACACCAAAAGTATTGTTCAAGAGTAACGGTAAACAGTGCGCATGCGTCATCATTGCACGCGTTGCTATGGTGACCGCTGCTGTTTGATAATTTTTAGAATTCTTTTTTCATTAAGTTCATTATGTATTGATATTTTTAGCGACCTTGCTCATGAATTGTGGAACCTGAGAGATCCTATAAATATCACTGAAATTGTCAATAAAGAGAATCTCGTCCCTTGAACGATGTTTTCCTTATTTTATTAAGAATATGAAATCTAGTTTAAAGTTTAAAAGTTGAAATAATGAACTTACTTTAAATTGTAGAGTGCATTCGTTTGGTGAATAAAATTTGGATGTATGGGCAAGTCTTGTAATGTCGCTAATTCTAAATCTGGAACAAGTTGATTTGAGGATGTTACTTCTTGAAGTATCTTCTTGCACTTCTCCTTCTTCATGTGAACTGTGAAAAAATAATTCAAGATAATTCATATGTGAAATGTGCTTCATTTTCATATTATATTAATTTAATTTTTCAACTCAAATTGTTTGAAACAATTGCCCAACATGTAAAAAAGTAAAAGCGAGCATAAGCTATGTGGAAGAATGCAAGTTTGATAAATGTGTACCATACAAAACAAAAATAATCACTTAAATGATACTTACATATGTAAAGTGCAGTTAATATGATGAATAGCATAACTGTAGCAATGCTGGCAGCGATGATAATTCCAAAGGAGTTTTCAACTTGGTCAACAAGAGCTATAATACACAGAGAAAATATAAAACTTTATATGCATGTAGGACAAAGCTTTGCAGGGTACTCGCTAACGCCTAAATTGTTCCTGTTCTCTTTCGAACGATTGCAGCTGTAGTTATGAAAGTGATACCAGATGGGTATGATTAATAACAATGGTCTACAAGATGAGATTGTATTCAATGACCCCGGGTAAAAAAAAAGCAAATACTTAGCGTTTCTGTATCTAAATCGGTGTGAGATATTTAAAAAAAAAATAATTGCAATTTAATAATATACCATCGATTTAGTATGAATTATTATGTACATTAATGCTGGGAAAAGATTGCTTCTGGCACGCTCTGGATATCTTACATTGCGAATAAGCGTAAAAGAAGTATAATCATCTAAAACAAAGGTTTAATGGGATAACTTGTTTTTTCTCATAAAACTATTTTGTTTACGTTAAATCACAGGCAAACAAATAAGCATTCTTTTCTCAGCACTAATGTTTGTGAGGAGTACGAAATTGAGGATTTGTAACACATTTTCCGATATAGAAATACTAAGTTTTCACCGAGTGACACTGTAAGCGGTCTCACTTGGTAACACGCAATCCCTTTATTATACCTAGACACCATTCCTATAACAATATTTGCAGTTAAAAGGATAGATATCGACTTTTTTAGATATCTTGTTTTATTATACAGCATATTATTTTACGAGAACTACACTTTTTAAGAGGATTAGATTGAATATATATCTTGATTGAAAATAGATGCATGCTGCGCCAAGTTTAAGTTCTGACATAGTTAACTAAGTATATATTAAAAATTTATGTTAATAACAGATGATAATTATTAAGCTATATGGAAAAAAATTAATAACTTTTGAATTCTTCACGATATTCAATTATTTAGCAAACATTTATTGGTTTAGGATGTTTTTTATTTGCATGCTCACTCTTACCACTATTGTTGATAATTTTTCTATGAAAATGCCGAAATACAGCGTTTCTGCGCATAAATCTGTGCATCAACCGCTGTATTCATCTGATTTCAATCCTGACCTCAAAAAAACATATTTATTTAGAATAAGAATTGCGCCTGTTTTCGTAATCTAAAACATTATCAATAGTAATCAGCATATTTAATTTTAAACCTTCAAATTATTGATATTGCATCTTAGTACGCATAAAAGTCTGATCATTAGATCAAAAGCTACTAGGGTGCTCAGTTTTTATTTTACATAATGTCTACGAATTCTGATGCTTTACAAGTTTGACCTAAAAACACAAAGATAGTATCGCGATTTATTGTTTATGCGATTATAATAAAATTATTTTTACTTAAACACGTGCTTGCTCTACCAAACAAACTAATGAAAATGAAGTATCAACCTTTTCTAACATTTTAAATTCTGTTTAAATTTAAATTAAATTTGAAAGTAAATATTTTTACTTACCTCCTGCATCCGGTAGAAAGAATGATTTCTCTGAGTAATTAAACATTCCAGGACCATATTCATTCACAGCGCGGACTCGGAACTCGTAATATTGATTCCCAGAAAAATTGTTTACAATCCATTGATTAATTGAACTGTTGGTCACAAAAATCCACCCAGCATCTTCATTATCTGACCTATATTGAAAATAAAAGGAATTATGCCTTATGGTCTTCATTTATTAATTATTTTTTTGCTAAGTATTTTAATACTGTGGTCCTATTTTAATGTTTTTAATCTCTCTTTCCTCGTCAGGTTTTAATCTACCTTTAAAACGGGCTATCAAAATCTACTAAAAATTATAATTTAACAATGAATACATGCGATTCTAAAACTCGGACATCTATGGAATCATTTACTCAAAATCTCTTCTTGATTTTTTTTCTCAGAAAAATAAACATTACAAAAGCACTTCTTTGATATACATATTATTTTTCTGTCACAAATTTTGTGAAAAAAAAATAGTTTGTTTAATCAATTTTTCTACAGCAATAGTTAAACAATTCATCAAATTTCCATTATAATTTCACACAATTTAATCAATGCTATAAAATAAAACAAAAATTCCACTCAAAGTGTCACGGCACGTTTCTTTTCATTCAACAACATAAGATAAAATGGAAAACTAGAAAAGAATTCCAGAAGTCCACCATTTTTATAATTGCTTGAGCAAAAAGTTATATTCAGTTTACCTCTTTAAAGAATTGTTTTTCTTTTCTCATAAAATAAAATAAAGTTTATAAAGGAACTTACAACCTGTAGCAACCATCAAGAAATAATAACATGTTCCTTTTTAATTATTCTACAGTAATAGTTAAACAATAGATCAAATTTCCGTTATCATGTCTCAAAACACAAACTAATGCTTTAAAATTACAGACGAAATTTCTTCTCATAAAGTGCTTTCGAACACTTTTAATTTTATTCAACAGCAAAGAATTGAATTGAAAATTAGAAAGTGACTCCAAAATTTCATCTTCGACCGATTTCTGTTTATATACATATATATATATATATATATATATATNAGTTATAAATATATATATATATATATATATCCTCGTTGCAAGTAACCATTATTTATTCATAGCAATAAATATTGAGTACTTGCAAAGTTAAATGATTATGGCTAGCCATGTGATTTAAATCAGATTCAGATGGATACCAATAAGCAACGTCACTCGTGAGTGCCGAACCTGATTGACTTCTGAATCGACAAAAACCGCGATTTACCTACAATGACGCCACTGGCAGGTATATAATTGCTGGAAAACTGATTTATTCTAAGTAACTTCTTAAGAAAATATGAATGCTTAAAATGTTGAAAATATACATATACTCAATCACTTACTTCATTTCTAACTCATATGTAATATCTAAATAGCCATTGTTGAGGGCTTCGTCCCAGGTTACTTGGTACACTTCCTTCCCTATGGGTTTCACTAGAGGTATACCTGGCACACTTGGTACATCGCCGATTGTAGAAAACTCGGAGACAAAATTCTGAGGCCATACAAATGGTTCTTCACTATCTTTATATATTAACATTAATCGGAAAACATATTTAGTTTTTGGTGATAAGTTCTCAATTGCAAATATGTTGAATGCTGAAGGTTCAGTTGACGCAGCATTGGAATGGGCAATCCATATTCCTTTCTAAACAAAATAACTAAAATTAGATTTTTTAAATTTCTTACGTTACAAATTTGTAATTATTAATTTTTATATGAGTTATAGTTGTCATGGAAATAAGGAAAACGTTAGGTTTATCTCTTAGCACAAATGAAAATAAAAATAAAAGGTTATTTTAAGTAAACAAATTCAAGTTACTTTTGTAATTAAAACCTGATTTTCATTAAATGGCCGATATTCAACAAATAAAAAGGCTCCTTGTTAATTAATATTTTAAAATAGACAAATTAGGCTTCTTCGTCTTTGAAATCATTATATAGCATTCACTTTAAAAGCTTTAGTACTTAAGAGTTTTTAAAAGTGAAACGTTAAAATAAAATCATTACCAAGATTGAAATTACTGAATACTGATATAGATCCATTGGTTCTTACGGAAATTTCGTGCCAATACATACGTTATCCAGTATTATAGAATCAACACGAATTACCCGGATGACCCAATTCCAAGAATCTTTGGAAATTAGGTTAAACAAAAAAGACAAATAATACAGATTGACAAGATATTAACAAGAAAATTATTGAAAAACAGCTAATTTGAACAAACCTATATTTTTATTTAAAATTGTTTTCTACGAATAACTTTAAGTAAAAAAGTTCCAAGTTGTTATCCGTCTTTAATCAAACAGAAAAGAAATAAATATTCAAATAAAACCAAACCTGTGTGAGTTCTAAAGTGTGATAACTAATACTGTCATCATCAGGTGAAATCCATAGAATGTTCAGAGTTGTTGAAGTTGCATTGAGAAGAGTCAAATTGTTTGGCATTTGAAAAGTTGTGGCTACTACTTCTTCACTGTCATTAAACATTTTGCAATTGGAAGAGTAAGCCCTCACCTAAAGAACAAAATATTCGTTAATATTCAAGTGACACGAAAAAGAAAAAAACACGTCCCGTTATCACTCCTCTTTCCCTTTTGGTTTCCTTGTCAAACAAAGTATGTACCTTGAGGGTGCAAACTAATAGAAAGATTCAATCTTACCGCACACTCTCGTATGTAGGTAGTGCGCATGCTCTGTAACTGCGCTGCGCAGAACTTACAAATGAGCTACGTGAAAGTGCACAATCTCTTTAATTTATTTGATGAAATCTATCGAATCACAAGTGAGTAAGGCGGTGTGAAAAAGTTAAAACTAGTTTAATTGATCAATGAAACTTCGAAATGTTTGTAACAACTCCTTTTCCTTAATCTGGCAATCAAACAGATTTAGAGGATTTCAGCCCAAGTTCCGCAGTAGTGATTCGTTTCGTTTTGAGAATGTCTCTTTTTTCATGCTTAAATATTAATTTAGGACCCCTTGCATACTTATGTTTCTTGACAAAGATTCTTAAAGAGGAACACTCATAATCATAAATAGGTGTATTTAAAAACTGAAATGCATACCGATATGTAATGATCCTTTCCAGCTTCTGAGGTTTCTATAGTTGCACGCAAATCAGAATTCGATTCGAGGCCACAGAGTGGTTGGATGCTCAGTAAAGAATCCTTAGTTGAGTTAAACACTTTCCATTGCACGCCGTATGAAATGGGATACCCATTGGGAAACAATGGTGGTTCCCAGGTCACCTCTATCTTGAATGGAGTCATAGCTTTAGCTGTTACATTCACAGGAGCAGATGGAACTGAAAAAAAAGCCAGAAAAAAAACTTTTTTTAAATGCACTTGTTGTAAAATTAGTGATTGTTACAAATCAGAATTCGAATCATACTTTAATTTAAAAATTATATGCTTCATTGCGGGAAATTTATAAACATTAAAGTTAGCTAGGTATTTTGTGAGTTAAAAATTATAGGTATTTTGCGAGTTAAGTATTTTTAAAATATTAATATAACTAGATACTTGCAACTCGAGAAGAAGTGTAGTTATCATGTCTGACCATGTGATTTAAATTTGATTTAATTGGATGCCCGTGAGCGACGTCACGTCTGTGTGTCGAATCTGATGCAGGTACCAGCCAATTATCAAAGGGTAGGTAGCTTAATATTAGGTCATATTATGAGTTGATTAACATAATTTCAGAATATTAGTGTGTCTTATAGCTTATTACATACTACTTAACAGAAAGAAATGAAAACATTAAACATAAATTTAAAGAAACAGTAGAAACAGAACACATGTCAAAGTCTTAGTCGTCACAAAGTACCATTCGTAGAAATCGAATTTGGGATAAAAGAGGAATTTTCGGATCAAAAGAGGACTCCCCGAAGGAGCATGCACGCCTTAAGGAAGATCGAAACTTGTTATTCACAAACAGAAATATTATTGTCTAAATAATTGTTTGCTTTAAAGGCAATATTTTTTGTCTTATTTTCAATTAAAATAAGAGGGGATCAAAAATTAATGTGAATGCGTGTGTAAACTCCATAGTCTTGTGTGTCGCTAATTAATTCTTTTATATCCGACAGGTACCCTGGTGATCGACGTTACCGGCGGGTACACTATATAACGTCCACCCGTTTGGTGCTGAGGGCAAATCAAAAATGGCGCAAAACATGAAGAAAACATTAAGGGGGAAATGATGAAAATAAAAAGGCAAATTTCTAAACTGTTGATTGTTAAGCTGGTGAAAAGTACCCCCCCCTTCTATGTATACAATGAGATGTTTGTTTTGAGTATTATGCTGCTATTTAAATGAAATTTTTGAAATTTGTGTAATACATATACGTAAACAAAAGTCATGGAACATCAAAAAAAAACAAGTAAAAATGTCATATTTGAGAAAACAATTGAAACTATATTATCTAAAGCTCTTCGTACACCAGTTTTGCGGTTAATATACGCATGGATCAATTAATGTCTACCAGGTAAAAGAAAGAAGCACAGAAAGTAAAACGAAATTGACTGTACTAAAGATTTTTTCAGACAATCATTACGGCTTACATAGAACATACGTAATGAATAAGATTTATATTCAATCTAGAGCCCCTGAATTCAAATGAAAAGTTATGACCTGAAAAAATAGTGTTTAATTTATTTTCTTTGTACAAAATATAAATTTAAGCAGGTGCTTAAAAAATTCTGAATTTTTTTTTAAACATTAAATTATAGTTCTGTTTACAAGACCTAAACTAATGTATAGTTTGTCTAAAGAGAGAACTCCCCTAGCCATTCGTCTGGACCCGTGGTGGTGACTATAGTAACGAGGAATAATTATTTCAAGTAGGGGTGTGAGGTCACTGTTTAGGACAGGTTTTGGTTCGGGTCGGCGAGAGAAAGGGAATATTTTTCTTCTGTCTATTGTGTTAGCCCTAGAGTGAAGAGACCCTCCCAAAAATGCGATATTCTTGTTTCCATAGCAGCAGACGACCTCAGATTTTGTGGTGGAGGAGTTCCTAGCGTAGACAAACTATGGTATATTTGATTTATAAGCTCATGGCAAATGCTATTTTACCTCCTTCATCAGTTCGATATGTAACAATCGGACTTAGATCAGATAATCTTTCACTGTAATAGTTCCTCACTGCCACACTTATGGAGTAGTTATTAAATGGCAACAGATCTTTAATTGTTATGATGTTTTCATAGGTGCTCTGAAAAAATGAAAATTAATAATAAACAAACTAGTATACAGAAAATAATCTTGGAAATTATAGAAAATACAACAGGTAAAATTTTTAAAAAAATTAGATGCATGATGATGGCCGTATGGAACAAAAAATCAGTATAAATATCATATTTGTGTTAATTTTTGCAAATCCCAAAAGAATCAAAAGTTGAGTGAATTGAGATATTAATAATGAAGGTATTAAAAGAAAAAGTAGATTGTGACGAATATAAGTATTTTAGTTATATTAAACAACACAATTTCGAACGCAGATAGTAGAAACAAATTTCATTTTCAATATTTTACACGGAGAAATATTTACAGGAGTTCTGATAAAATTACCGTACTGCACTGTAATAATATTACCATATTGTTTGGTTTTGGTAAGAGGCATTAAAATCTGTTCATGTAGTAATGATTTACCAGAAATTCTGATTTTCAAAACTATCTATTTAACTGAAAAGTGAATTTATCCGTATAATTGGTTTTTAATGCCATGCTCTCATGATTTTGTAAATTAAAGAAATTTTAATGTTATAACTGTTTTTCTTTGATCTAAATAAATGCAAATAAGTTTCGAATTTTTAAAAATTATTGCGTGGAAGTGAGCCGTATTTAGAAGATTTTTCCCTTTAACGCAGAAAATGACACCGGTGTTTCATGTTGTATTTCATAACCATAAGCTTTTAAATGGTTAAATATGTAATATTTTACTTATTTAGACCTAAATTAATAGAAAATAATGAAAAAAGTATGAAAATTATGTTTAATAAAAATGTTTTATCAAGAATTTATTAAATTTTCCTTTATAAAACAAAATCTGAAAACACGCTCCTTACCAGAGTCTTGCATAGGTTCTTATTTTTGGTGAAGAAACAAGCTCTTGTACTTGAATTGCTTGAAGGACCATAAAACAACGTGTACATAACTGAAGGCGAGGATATTTTGCTACATATCTTAGGGCGATGAACTGGTGGCAGGTACAGGGTCAAACTATGAGAGGTTCGATTCAGGAGCCTGGCAGCTTCCTTGTAAGTCAGAGAGATAAGACAGGATGCATCAGGATAAGGCTGCAAATGATTACCAATCGCTCTAATAGTTCTGACTCCTCTTATCTCTTCTGTTTTGATATTCTTCTGACTGAGTTCATCATATTGATGCCTTTCAGTGTCGAGATGTTGCTCCGATTTCTTGATTCTATATACCTTGCCTATAGTTTTATTTAGCCAATATATGTGCGAGTTATCTACTGTTATAGAAGTCGGTGGAAGACCTGGATTTTAAAAAAAGAAAAAGCATTTAAAATAGCAGTAAGAATAAAATATTTAAACAAAATTCATGTTTAAATAATAGATTATTTTGCTTGTTTGAATAAATCAATTCATCTCTTAGATAAATAAAGCGAAAAAAATTTTTTATATCCTAAATGGTCTAGCATATTTTGAATATTGCGTGGAAATTATTATATCGCCTTCTAAAATCGCCATCTTTAATTTTTGTGCTTAATTTTCTGGTGAAAAATTAGAAAAGAATACATACTGGGGGATTCCAATAAATAGAATTGTTAAAGAACAATGGTCAAAGAATTTGAATGAAAGAAAAGTAAGAACTCTCTCAAAAACTGATGAATAATTATTGAGGAATACCGTGTTGAAATTCAATGTTTGTAATTACATTAATAGTAATATTAATTATTTATTTAGTTAATTTTTAACAATAACTGTTATTTATTATTTTAAAATAATAATTAAAACTATAAAAATCCAAAGATGGAATTAACGACTCTAATATGATTACTGTTGGTGTATGATTTTAATGCATTTATATATTTGCAATCGAAAAATAATCAGGTCCTGTAAAGCATGTATTTAAGATCAATGCAAAGAAAACAGCTAAATTTGAGTTCGTAAAATAAATTGTTTTAAACAGTATTGGGTGTTTACTACACAGCAGTCAAAATTTTTCCCAATAAAAATAAAATGCTGATAAAAAGAAATCAGAAACAAATCAAAGAGGCCTTAAAACTGGTTTATTCTTTGCATGGATAGAGCTTCATAAAAAGCAAGAGAAGTTGAGATTTTGGTTCATTTCCAAATCGATGAAAGCCATGGTAATTTATTAGTCATAACATGAGCATAAATATATCCTTTTTGCAACCGATACTGCTTTTCATTTTTAGGAAATACGGTTCTTTTTTAAAACTGAATGAAATAAATTTTTTGAAACTAAAGATTAACAATAACAAAAAATTCTATTTAAACAGCACTGGAAAAAATAACTGCGAATTTTACAGAAGAAAAAAAAATTTCACAGAAAATTTTTCAAAAAGATAATACAAATTTTTTTGTCCTGTTTTTATCCGTTAATCGCACACTGTAGAAAATTCCGGTACTTTTTACAAACTTTCTCCGAATATTTGATAGTTTAAAGCTGTTTTTTTTTTTTTTTTTTTTTTTTTTTTTTTTTTTTTTTTTTTTTAATACTAAAACACTAGAGCTGCAGTAGCTCAGAGGACAGAGTACTCGCCTCTCTATGAGGTGACCCAGATTCGAATCCTTGCTTCGACTGGTTGTACGAATACTGTTCTCGGTTCGCACCGACTAGGATACTGACACAATTATTTTATAGAATTTTTTGTTGAAATAACAGAGTTTTTTTATTGTGACCAATAATACAACTGTTTGTTAAAACAACAATACTTATATGCTAAGAAAACAGGTGTTGGTTTTTAAATTTTAATTATTTTTCCGAAAAACACACGGTTTTATGCTGGCTCACCACCCAGCAGATTTTTCTGTAAATTTAGCTGATTTTTTTATTGTGAGAATAACAGTTCTGTTTCTGTACTGTTGCTGTTAAACAACATAATGTTCTATAAATTATCATTAGGTCATTTATTTAAATTCGCTATCTGAAACATCAAGCGACTACAATCAATCAATTATCACATTTGTTAACAGAATAAATCATCATTTACTTTTAGAAAATAAAATACAATCAATCAAACGGTTTAAAATATTATTACAATTAAGGAACTTTATATAGTGCCATTATTTATTTTTTGATATCTAAAGAATCAAATCAATGCAATCAAACAACAGAAATGAGACCGTTAATGCGCATAATATCAAAGTAAATTGCAGAAAACTCTTGTTTCCACACTTTAACAGATTATCCTAGTTAACTTGTAGATTATCTAGGTAATGTGAAGGTTAACTTTTTTCGAACTTCAACGGTAAAATTTTCACTTACCGGAATTTTGTTTTTCTGTTGCATTCAAAATCGGCTCACAATAGCATCCTTCCATATCAGAAGACCATATCAAGAAATCGTCTATGAAAATGAGATTTGGTTGAGAAATGTTAGCACTGTCTATCGTTATAGCCTGTCCAACAGACGATGTTGGATTGCAATTGCATGGTTTTTTAAGGTCGGCTGTTCTCTTGACTTTTATTCTGTTAGCTGTGGCATGATATTCATAGTTGCGGGCAAAAAATGGGCGAATGTTTGAACCATTCATGTCGGAAATCATCACGCTACAGTTATTTCCAGAAGCCACAGTCCAAATAAGAGACCTACAGATAGAACAAAAATAGTCTTTAATTGAAGGCATATTTATGGCATAAAAAAATTTCATTAGTCATTAAAATGATTACCTTGAAATTGTCTAATATATTTAAAATAAAGGTACTGATTACATTAAATCTTCAGAAAATTCCAAACACGCGCGCAAAAATTTCATTTCCACATCTACATTATTAACATAGTTATTAGCAATTTGATTTTTCCCCGGAAAACATGACTTTGAAGTATTTTTTTTAGTATTATTAACATAGTTATTAGCAATTTTTGAAAAAAAGGTGGGGATATTTCCCCGGAAAACATAACTTTGAAGTATTTTTTTTAGTATTATTAACATAGTTATTAGCAATTTTTGTAAAAAAGAAGGGGATTTTTCCCCGGAAAACATAACTTTGAAGTATTTTTTTTAGAGAGAGGATATTTTTTAAATATTCATAAGTTCTTTGAATCTTTGAGGATATAAAGTAAACTTTTTTAGAATCAGCATGATATACTTAATAAAACTGTGCATCGTCTAAAAATTAATAATTTCTTACAATATATTTTGTCTGCAGGATACATATTTTTCTTTGGCTGTTATCAAAACGAGCCTTTAAAAAGGATCTAATTTATTTAAAAGTAAATAAATGCACAGATCTTCATCTGTGATCGTTGAAATTAATTAATAAACAAAGCATATATGCAAAAAAACTTAAGTTTTTAAAACTTGTGAACATTTGTTTAACATTGTTGTTTAACATTTTTTCAATATTTTTTAAAAAAACGAGCATTTTTCTATTTTTTGAAAATAAATTATTGATTTTCAGTTTAAGTAAGCATGAAAAACTGCTAAAAAATTATTTGTTTTTACTTTCATTTCAAAAAAAGTTATCAGGAAGGCACTGTAACGCATTATTCTGAAAAACAAAGGTGAAGTTATCTTAATCTTTGATGCTGCAAAATAAAAAAGACCTCTAAATTCTAATCCTAGAGAAATTCTGAACAATAATTTTATTTAAAAAAATAAACAAATCCCCATACCCTGAAAACGGCTCAACCTCTAAACTACTAATTACTGCAGAACTGTTGAAAAGCATTTTGGGATAACTATCATAACTCAGGTCAACAGAAAACACTTGACTATTTCTTTTCATTTTGTCAACTTCAGCCCAAAACAGTTGTCTTCCGATCCAATCAACGGCCATGCATGTACCTTCAGAGGATAAATGTTTGATCTGTAATCAATAATCAGGATTAGACTCTCAATCGATAAAAAGACTTCATCACTGAAAGTTAGTTCATCCACTTACCAGAGAAGCATTAGTTCCGTCAATGGACGATCTTAATGCATCGTGTTCCATCCAGAATACTCTTCGCTCTTGAGCAAGGTATGCAATTGCTGCGGGCTGAGTGGCTTTTCCATACAATAATTTTTCTTCGTGTATGTCAAAGTCAGCTACTTTTACACTATCAGACTTAGCAAGAAGTAGCTGTGGTACGGGCCTTTCAACTGAAGCTTGAGCTTCCACTATTACACTTGGCGGTCCTATGCCAGCTTCAGTAATTGCTTCAACCTATTAAGTAAAAGGTTTAGTTTCCTCTAATATTATATAAATATATATTCATATGTACAGTATATAGTACAGTACAGTATAAAAATATATTCATATGTAAAAATACAATTTCATTCATAGGTCTGTTCATCTTCTTTATTTCTATACATAAATATTGAAACAAGTACTTTTTAAATTCTCTTTGAAAATTTAGGATAAAAAATGTTCGAATTATCAAATAACATGAAACTTTAAAAATTAAAAAATGTAATCCAATTGTAAAATTGCACGAAAATTTGGAAAGTTAAAAAAGATAAAAAGTAATCAAAACGATCAATGCAACTTTCTGCTCAGCGACTGACCACATGACTTGCGATTCCACAGAGTTCATGAGCATGTACTCGATAGATCTTATTGAAGTCGAGGATCGAACCCCGGCCTTTCCGGACCGGAGTCCGATCTGGGCTACCACAACTGGACAGATTTGTACAGCAATTGTAGGTTTTAACTTACTGACGTTATGGTTTATCATTGAAGTAATCTTCTGGAGTATAAAAAATAATGAGAATTATGCTAATTTTTAAATATTCTTATCAAAGGCAAAGATACTTCAGAGACTGTATTGTAGTATCTGAATAACAAAAACCACGTTATAGTTTAATTAATATATAATAAAACGTTGTTAAAATACGCCATCTACCTATTTCTGAAATTTCGAAAAACAGGATACTTTTTGAATCAGAATTATTTTAACAAATTCCGAGATATTTACATTAAACTTACAAATACAAATTTACATTATACATACTTGAAAATAATACGTTGTGTTGGGAAGCAAGCCTTTTATTTGGTATTGAAGAAATTTCCCATCTACGAGGAGGTTTGAATCGCATGCAGTCATCTTTTCACCATCTTCAACCATCCAGCAATTTATTTGATAATAACTAATGATTCCATTTTCGTCTTTTGGGGGTGACCATCTGAAGTCTGCAACAATTTCTTGATCACCGTGCAGAGGAGAGGATTTGTGAGTGATAAAAACTCTTGGGTGAATCGGCTGGGACGGAACTGCAAAAAATCACGAACTTAATAAGTAGATGCCTTATGCGATGTTATCATACGCAATTTCTCGTATACAGTGCGCAATACAGTACCCAAAATAACCTTTGATCGGATCTTCATGTTCTAGTAACGGCTCGAAAGGGAGAACTCAAATACGCTAATTAATTAGTGCAAACGCTATTTTCAGTTACGAAATCCGACTCGAAGATATACTTTCTCTGAAATAAACATGCCGCTTTTTCAACGGATTTGAATTTCTGATCTTCCAAATAGCCGCAATCTGGGAAATTGGTTCCAATTGCTAGGTCAGGAGTGCGGTCCAAAGTTTGGAAAGTTTAACGTTAATTTTATTTTTAACATATTTCACCATAACTCGAGAATTTCTTAAGTGAATAGAAAAAAATTTTCTCACAAAATAAATTGTAAGACGAGTAAAAAATAACTTTTAAAAAATTTTATGTACATTGCCATACAAAGTTATATTCTTAAAAATAATGTAAAAAAATTGGATGCTTACAATTTAAAATTTTTTCGATTATTGTCAAATAAAGTAATAAAAAATAATAAATATTTACTGAAAGTTATTTTCTAAGTGGAATTGTCTTTGGATAAACGAACTTGATGTAACTATGTAAAAAAACTCGAGTCACTTAAAAATTCCCGAGATATAGCAAGAGACGCAAAAAATAACATCGACATTAAGTCCTAACTTTGGATAGCTCTCTTGACTAAACTATTAGGACCACATTTCCCAGATTACGGATGCTCCCTATATTTTGGGGGTCAGAAATTCGATTCCATGGAGAGAAAAAAAAGGTATGATTATTCAGAGTAAGTGCTTTTTTGAGCGCGATTTCGCAACTTACAATATCGTTTGCACTAATTAATTTGCATGTTTGAGGTCACCTCCCTGAAACCATTAAGATTGAGTCTTAGAATGCGAAGATCCGATCATTGTAACAGAAGCTATTTAGAGTGGTCCGTTTATTTTTCTGCACACTGTACAACGTAAAAAAATTATCGTATAAAGCATATAAAAATTCGCCTAATGCAATCTATGCAATGTTATGTTATGCAACTAATCCGATGTTAATTAATTCAGCTAATGTAGTGATTATTTATGCAACTTACACTATATTACCTCATGCAATTTATGCAATGTTTCTCTCTGTATAGTGTTTTTTTTTTTTACCATTCACGTTGATCTTCAAATTAAGAAGTACGTATTGTTAAATTTTATGCAATTAGTTTTTCTCCGTTTGAACGACTCGACTTTTGACTCTGTCAAAACGAGAAAGAAATTGAATTATAATTTCCACATTTTTCTCGATTATAAGCAAACAATTCTGGAAATATTGCTTTTATATATGAGTTGCAAGAAACCCTACGTAACCTTCACGCAATTCTTAATACTGCTAAAATTGCTATTAGAAAAGAAACCAAGTTCTTAAATAATACAACAATATAAACTTAGAATTGATATTAAACACGTTATTTTTTAAATTTAAGATTTCAAAACATGTTAAAGTTTTCGATATTCAAAAACCTTCCAAGAAGAAAAAAAGAGAGATAAACAGTGGTGGAATGATATTACAATGGAGTTAAAATAGAGTAACATATCAACAATTTAGAAAACCAGTATAGAATGAAAAAAAACAAATTATGCAATTACCAATATTTTTAAAGATTAGAAAATGTGTTTTTAATGTCCACCTATCCCTTATTGAAAGTTAAGCTTGCAATTGAAAAAAACATATAATAGTTATAGCAATAACAGTGATTCAGAACTATCGTTTTTTGTTTATAAAATATGTTTCTGGTTAAATAGTACATAATAAGTTTAAAAAAAGATATAAAATAAAATTCCATTTACTTGACATAGGCGAATATAATGTGGCGACTGTCAACTTTGATGAAGCCCAATATGTAAAAGCTTGAACTGTCACCGTAAGCAGACTATAAGGTGGTAATCGTTTCATTGTTGGATAAGTAAATATTGTATCATTGGTAATCTGAAAAATGAAATTAGTTTTTAGACATATTAAGGACGCATGCTTTTTAATCACGTGAACAGAAATTTCTTTAATTTTACTCTCTACTTACCAATGTGTAAACTTCATCACCGTCATCTACCTTTATTTCATACAAGACTGTGCCGTAGTTCACAATAGCATCTGGCTGCCACGTGATGTTGAAACAATCATGCGTTCCGTTGACATGAATGTAATCTCCATTAACGGAAGTGGGTACTACCTTGATCGATGTTCTGTCATAATTTTCTGCAAATCGAATTTAATAATTAGAACAAAATTGATACAAATAACTAAAAAGATTATGCAAAAAACCTAATCTGAGTAGCTTTTTAGTGGTAATAAGGCTACAGGGTGTCCCTTACCACTACATTTAACGCGCAATTTTAAAAAAGAAGTAAAACAAAAGTTAAAAAAGAACTAAAAAAAGAATGCACATTAGGATTTTTCAAAATAATATACAGGCAAGGTAAAAACAAAAACGTTATCGAAATCTGACGGAACATTAATGAGGGAGGCAAGACAAAGAATACAAAAACCTGTTTGATTGTGAGAGGAAACAAAAGAGAAGCTAAGAAGTGATTTCTTCTAGAATGTATGTCATAAATTTTATCTGGCAATCAAACTGGTTTTAATATTTCCTTCCCGCTTTCTTTACTGTTGATTGGATGGATTCGAAAAGCGTTTTTGTTTCGTTCTTTCTAAAATATTAACTCGCGACACTTAGTGCACGAACATTTTGAATTCATATATGACAACGTTTTTAAAAATATGCAAGGAAGGGCGGTCATTACTGAACACCTTCCATGAAATTCATACGCATTTTATAAAAAGCAAACAGCATCGAACCTACCTGGGTAGGCATGCAAAGAATTATCGATGATTTCTATTGAAGACAACCCTTCTAAGCCAACGCCTTCCATCTGGGCAAAATTCTTCCCGTTGACATCACTCACAAAGGATTTGTGACTTTCGTGGAAATAAAAAAGTCTGTTGGCAAAATATGAAACTGGTCCATGCCTGTAAAGCAGAAGTTAACGCTTTATCACATAGTTTAAACAGATCATATAAAAATTATTGTTGTATTTTTAATTACATCAATTGTTGCCCATTGAAATAAAAAATTTTACTAAAATGATAGGCTATGTTATTTTAGACGTTGTAGCGACCTGGCCCTCAGAACTCGTAGAGTCCTGCTACTGCTCTATACTATTTGTATTTATTTAATACCTTTTTTTTTAAATTATTTCTTCTAAACTACTTCGTAAAAAACTTAGGATCAAATTACGGTATTAAGTACCGACACTTGAGTGTATCATCCGTAAAAATCCTTTTACATTGTAATACATTATTCCTTAATTTTTACAGTAATATTTATTTAATTAGAGTGATTCAGTGATTTTACGATAACTACTTCTATAAAAATTACTGTAAATCAGATTATTTTCTCTGTAGCATGTTCCAGTACCGTACGCTTTATCTTTATTTCATGTGGAATTTTTTTATTGTGTGTTCAACCAATGCTTTTTCCAATTTTTTAATTTGTGCTTATAAAATTAGTGATTTTAACATAGAAAATATTTTTTTATTTTCTTAACTTATGCATAATTAACCATTTAATATTACTATTTAACATATTAATGGATACAATTAATGAAGATTTACACAAAAATTTTTTATTTTTTTATTGCTCAGCTGACAATCTGATGACATAATAATCCGATCGACAGTTCAAGAGGGTAATGGCGCAGAAGAAATATTAAATAAGGTTTTATTTTAGCATTATGAAGTTTTCTCAATTGAATTACGATTTTTATTAAATATACTCAGCAGTATCTTTAGGAGCGTGTAAAATACACCGTAACTTCAAACTACAGACGATAATGTTTCGGGTATTTTTCAATCATAACTTGAGGAAATAAGGAACAAAATTTATACATTTATGAAAAAAATTGTAAGTGCTTGCGATCGTATACTTACAAACCATCCAGAGATAGTGATCCAAGTATTTCTGGTTCAGTTGGATTGCATTGATTAGTGGTGTCCACCATGCAAGCTCGGTACATTATGGATCCCTCATAACTTCTGACCATCCAATAAACATTTTTCTTGTCAAAATCTAGGCTTATTCCCATCACTGAAAGAATAAACGAAATATATAAGAAATTGAAAAAAAAGTGATTTAATCTTGAACTGTTACATCGAACCTTAAGCCATAAGTTCAATGAAGCAGTGAAATGGTGTTAAATCTGACCTAATTAAATTATATACTCTATTTGTATGAAAAAACTTAACTGTGTGTGATGTAACGCTATAGAAAAAGCCATTTGTCGAAGCAATAGCTAACGCTATAGTCATAGTCGGCAGTGTAATTACGAAATAGTAACTTGTCTTTAAGTTTAAGAAAATTTAAATTCCTCGAAAAAAATGCCAAATAGTTTAATTTTTTTCAATGGCAATTCTCTTGAATTAGAATGTCTAATTCTCAATTAGATTAATGTAGATAACTAAAATTTAGCCAATAAATATAAAAGTTGTTGATTCAATTGACGAATGTAATTTAATAACTAACTTGGATATTTAAATAAAAAGACATGCATCGTTTAAAATAATTTATATTAAAAGTAATTAATTTCAGAAAAATAAATTAAGTTGTAATTTAAAATCAAAACTACCATTCTAAATTTGAGACTACCATTTATTGATACTACAATGAAAAACTACCATTCTCTCTTAGACAACATTCGACAACAGAAATCCTAAATATATCAAAGAAGTAATAACTACTGTTGAAAATGTAATAGTTTAACAAAAACCGAATAAACATGTTGGTTAAATATATATATTGTATGTTTTTGGACAAAGTAAAAGTAAGCTAAAATTTTAATGGAGCTCTTTGCAATCGATTGTTACAACATTTGTCGAATTTTATTATACATTTAAAATAAAAATGTCAGATCAGAAGATGTTTAAATTTTTACCATGTTTTCCAGAGAAGAGTGCATTTTTTAAATAAACAAAATGATCCATTCCATTTAAACGAGAACGCTCAACTGTATGCGATGTAGCCCAATAGAGATAGCCGTTTGTCGAATCAATAGCTATTGCTTTTGCCATTGTTAGGATAGGAACAGGCTCCGCTTGGCTACCATCGATGTTTGAGCGGAAGATCTGAAAATAGGCGAAAAAAAAGGATTTAAATAAATTTATTGGCTAATTAATAAGAATTGGAATTGAATTCATAAGGAAAATATAAGTTTCTTGGTTAAAAACATTGGTATGAAAAATTCAAAATAAGTTAAGTTCATCTAACGCAAGAGTGGGCGAAAAATATTTTGTTCAACTTTGCCAGCATTAAAGTCCATTACAAATAACATACATAAAACAGTTTTGCGTGCACATACTTTTAACAATTAAATAAAAAAAAATTTCCCGTCTAAAAATTTTTTTATGTCAAAGTAAATTTTTTGGGGATTGCAACTATGAACCATTATTGGTATTTTGAACAATTATACCATGAATTTTACTGAAACCTAAATAAGGTGTTAAATTGACTCATGTTTCTATTGAACTATATGCAGTATGAAATTTCAAGTCACGTTAAAGCTGCTGTAGTTGTAGTTCATTTACGTCGCACTAGAGCTGCACAATGGGCTATTTGCGACGGTCTGGGAAACATCCCTGAGGATGATCCGAAGACATGCCATCATAATTTAAATCCTCTGCAGAGGGGATGGCACCCCCAATTCGGTATCCCAACGACCTGCACGCGAAGTCGAGCATTTTACGGTAGAACAATTCAACGAGGACCAGTACCGCACACCCTCGATCCCTACGCAGAATGATCCATGTGGTCACCCAACCTCACACTGACTGCAGCCAGTGGAGCTTGACTTCGGTGATCTGCTGGAAATCGTGTCTTAACGATTAGTCACCAGTCGCGGGACCAAGTCACGTTGAAACATAATATAATTCAAATTTAAAGCTACCTTAATTCTATTGTACTTTTTAAGCTTGAGTATTATGGTTCAAATTACCGATCATGTGGTTCCCTAATGAACTAGCTGATGTGTTTGTGTGCCCAAGTTTATGAAAAATCAAAATGATGAATAATAATTAAACTTGGCCCCGTATTATGATTGCAACTAATTTTAACGATATTATGATATAGCGTAGAATTTATCATTGTACAACTGAATTATCTTTTCAATATTTATAAATGCTGATTAAATTATAAAATTCGTTCAAACTATTTCACTTGTTAAACAATTGTAAGCCACGAAGCCTATCAACTTTTTTTCCCTTGCAATTTCATGCAATATTTGGATAAACAATTTTGAAAGTATGTACAAGCTAAAATTGACATACCATTTGTTGAGTTGGACTTGACCAATATAGTTTAGGTGCAAACCATTCAATTGCTATACTTGATGCTAAAGTTATATTTTGTAGCCTCGTTAAACCATCAAGTTTATTATATAAATAAACGTAAGAAGTGTTGGTGTTGATGAACAAAGAATGGTCAAACCAGCAAATATCTAGGTTAAAAATAAAATAAAACATATAATAAATATTATCAAATATATATATTAATCGTAATAGATGAATCTCCTGCGGCACATAAATAATTGAGCTGTATTTCTGTGATCTCCGTTGGCAATTACTATTAACTATTTTGGAATCAATCACTGACCATTACACACTATGTTTTTGATGACAGAAATTCCACAGTTGAAAGAAATTGAAAGAGGAAATAAAACTATAGCGATTTGGGTAATGTACATTATATTCTAATTTAAGTTCTATTTTAATGAATAAAATTACTCTAATTTATTTATTTATAAAAAGAAATTAAACGAATTGCGGTCCACTCATTTTATAAATAAATGTATCATAAAAAGAAATGACTGGTAATATTAGGATGACATTGTTCAGTACAAAGCTTACGTTATGCTAACAAATTTATTAAACTAATTTTAAAAACAACTTGAAAACATACCTAGCTATTAGTTCTAAACAATACAAGAAGGAAAAACAAAAATATATTTTTTTTATTTATTAATTAAAAAATTGTAGAGCTAATTGGATGCTTGTATATCTGAAAATAGACGATCACTGACACACAGGCACTTGACCTATGACCTCAGCGCCAGATGATCGTTTACAAACAAGATGGCGTGCTAAAATCCAGCTAAATTTCTCCACACGAGTTAGAATGTTAATTGACGCGAAGTTAATTAAATACAACGCAGCATCGTATAGCAAATTTGTTAAGATATAATTCTTTATCGTCAACGTATTTTATTTAACTTAGATTTATTATTTGTTTACATATTTTATTGTAATCATTATATATTGTTGCTTTGTCTTGTAACTTCGACGTTTGTTTACGTTTTACATGGCTTCGTGCCTGTCTTTGTGTTAAATAGCAAAAATATATAGTAATATATACAATATATAGAAATATACAGAATTATAGAGTATAGAGAAATATATAGAACTGAAATCTTTGTGCAAGAATCGTTATGAAAGAATATAGAATGTGCTGCTTAAGAGAATTGATACTTCCCAGGCTTCGCTTACTGGTATTTAATAAAGGCACTTGCAGGTATCCCATTTTAACAAATAACATCCTGCTGATGCTTACATTTTATTCGATTAATCAAATCTGCGGTCACATCAGATCACATTTTAAAATGTCCATTGATGATTTAATTGCATAACAAAAGTTGTAGGCTAAATATGTAAATTTGTGTCAAAGAAAGTTCCCATTTTATATGAGAACCAATCAAAGGTCTCCCAATACGAGTTGGCGTGCGGAAAGTAAGTGAGAGCAAATCAAACCGGTAAAATTCATTCCATTGATTTAAGGGAAGAGAGCAATGAAAGGCGAAGCAAAAGAAAAATCGATTGTATATACACACCTTATTTGGCGTATTATCGAAAATAAATAAATATATAACTAATTGAAAGAGCTTTCTATCATAGTGAACCAAAGAAACAAAATTGTATGCAAGTTTGGAATTCTCGCCAAAAGCTCATATTTCAGGCGCTATGAAAAAGTGAACTCTTCCACTAAGCTTTCTCGTCACTCGCTAACTTCGCCTTAGTTGAATAATTCTGGGAACTCATGTTGTTCACTTTGCAAATAGAATCATTTAATGGCTGCATATTCATAAAAATATTAAGCGTATTGTCTTTACAAAAAAAAATCAATTAATTATGAATTGAAAATATGTTAATTTAAGTATTCACAAGCGATATTTGCCAATATTTAAAATGACATGTTTTATTTAGAAATACTTTTTTTTTGCTATTTATAGTTTCATGTTTACCTGTTATATGTGCGTTATTAAGATTTATTTTGGGCACAAGCAGTTCAACACCTTCTCCAACAAAATCAGATTTAAGTAATCCTTCTTGAGCACCCCATAGAATATAAGGAGAAGAATGTTCAGCTGTAAGAAATTTAAAACAATGTAATTATAAAAACCAATAATGAATAATAAGCATAGGAAAATATGTAATTAAATTTATCGAAATATTGTTATAATTTCGGATATATTTTTTTAAAAAATTGCTTAAGTCAATTTGATTACGTTCGTTATCGTTCTACCACCGTTGCTGAACAGCTGTTATGTATAAGATTGTGGTTATCAATGTCCAATTCAGCAGCTTATAACTTTGGACTCACCTTAGAAGACTGGGAAATTCCTAGATAAAGCGGTGTCGATCAGATTTTCCTTTGCAAGCGTTTTTTTAAGTATAACTAACTCACATTTGCGTTACAAGGAGGGGAAAACCGCCTAAACATATTAACGGTTAGCCAGATAATAAATGGGATTCTAATACCTGATTCGTCTACGGCTGGTGATATATGACGTCATCACTATGGTCGGAGAGAGCAGCTGAGATCAGTCTTATAGCTGCAACCAATAACTAAGTTTTAATTTTCGAGCAAAATTATTATTAATCTTCTTTATGCTTCTATCATTCTTAATGTTTCAAATCCAATAAAAAAGACTTTTTCCATAAGGAACTTATTTGACAAAATTTTGTTCACACTACTGTTTGACAGAGAGCTAGAATACAGAGAAAACAAAATTCTCGATTATAATAAAATTGAAATCGAAACTATTCCACTCTTTCGTTGGCATGATTGAATAATATCCAATTTAAAAGCAGCAATCCTTTCTTTCATAGTGGCAATTTCTTCCGCAGATTGGGAAACAAAGACACAAACCAATAAGGAATAAATGAGAATATCGGCAACACTTCGACACGGCAATTCATTAACTAGGTAGCTTTATTGAGAAGATCAGTATACGCATCTTGGTACAAAAATAATTTACATACTAAGATTTCTTGAGCCACAAGATTCTCAGTAGGATAAATACATAACTGAATAGAAAGTTTTAGTTTATGGTGTGCCTCAATAAACAAGTTTAGAAACACTGAATGACTTCTCCTCAGTGGATCGCAAATGTTCAGGGATGGCAATCTACTGATGAAAATTTACTTAAATTGCATTTAGATGGATTTTAATTATGACGCTTCGAATGCAGCAGAAATATTAAATGATATTGATTAGATTATAAGAATTTTTAGAAGAAGAGCAAACTGAATTCCTGTTTTCATTCGGGGTAAAATAAATAAATAAGTAATCAATAAATCGGTATTCATAAGCGCTACGAAATCAGGCCCAAAACTGATAAACATAACCATCACTATTAATAAAGCTAAAATAATTCCAATTATTTATTTATTTATTATTTTTTGCCCTTTTCGGTGGTATATTGAATATAATTTGAAATGAGTTTATTGCTCCAGACCAACTAACGATAGTCAGAATTCATCACTGTGTTATAGAATCTTTTTGCAAACAAACAGTTCTGTAATAAAATTAGAATAAATTAAGAGAGAAATACATACATTTTTTGAGAGTCATTCCTCGAAATTCAGATGACCATGGACCTTTACCACGTGTGCTGTAAGCTCTAACTTTTACTGAATATGTAGTATTCGGGCAAAGATTTTTGATTGCATAAATTGTATCGTTAATTAAGGCTTTCACGTGTTCATTTCTTGATGTATCTGTTAGTGAAACTTCGTAAGACCATTTCCTCCACGATCCTTTGCCTAAATTCCAAAAATAAAAAATAAAAAATTATGAAAGATAAAATTTTTGTGATTAACAGAAACAGTGCTACAGTTTTACAATTTGTGTTTTGAAAGATGACACGCCGTCTATAATTTATACAGGGTGTCCTTTAATGACCACCTTTAATTTATATTTTTAGAGCCATTAGTCAAAAACGTTTACACGTTAGGGTCACATAATAATATTTAAGAAAGGTATAAGAAAAACGCTCTTGAAATCTAAAGTATCATTAATAAGGCAGACGAGCCTGAAAACATCAAAATCAGTTTAATTACTAGATGAAACAGTTTAACTTGTATTGATATTTTCATGTGATCTTTATTGATTCTATAGATTTCGCTAACGTTTTATTGTCTTCTAGTTTAAATAGAAAATTGCAACTCTAATGTGTAAAATTATTTCACAGTATTAAAAAGGATTTGAAAAATATATAGAAAAGTTGGCCATTACAAAACGCCCTGCTTAACAAAAGATAAACTGAACCAGTGGTATCCAACTTTTTCTTTCATCATGACAACAAACAACCAATTTTAAGGTGTGAAAGTCTTCTTGTACCACATAAGAAAATATGTTCATGAACTCAAGAGTGATAACTAAAAAGTTAAATTATGCTTATTACTACAGCATGCTTATAAATATTAATGGAGCATTTTATACAATACTACTGATTAAAACTGAAACGAAACAAAATTCTACGAACCGAATTAGAAACGAAATTCTAGGTTAAAGAGCTGGTGAAATATTAGGATTGTTTCCAATATTAATTCTTATTATAGTATTAGGTTTTATACCATTTCATAGTAATGATTACAAAAGTTTTACTTCAACTGTTATTAATATAATTTTTTTAATACTCCGAATCAAATATCTTGATTCTTTACATAGCTTTCGAGTTTGTTTTTAGTATTGTTATTTTTTTATGAATAATTAGTACTACGCATGTCACTTGATGGGAACTTTTTATGTATAAAAGATAGAGAAAAACTATTTTCTTAACGTTTTGTTTAAGAGGTGAGATAGAATTCCGTCAAATTCCTGGTTTCTTCCAAAAAACGAAATTCAAAAAGTTTATACACTATTAGTAGAATTTTTTTTCTTGAAATGAGCTGTGGAAAGATTCAAGTGTGGAGGAAAGCGTATTTTTTTAAACTAAAATACATAAAATATTCCCCTCATATGGCTAATTCTTGGTAAAAATATGGCAGCTCTTGGTAAAAAATACTTTTTCGATAATTTTAATGCGGCCAAAAATGTAAACGGAAAAAAGCATCAATTTAAAAACTCGTGTAACAATAATATCTTTTTAGATAAAAAAAAATATCAATACTTTGAACAAATATCCCAATTTTTGCAGTCAGAGTACAGAAATAGGGGTCAGAAAAATTTTATATTCGTGTAGAAGATATTTCTCCTTCTTATAAAACTTTGAGTATATTATTTTAATCTGTTTAGACATCTTTTAAGCAAATAACAGAAGCACGACATTTACAGAATTCGACAGTGGCTTAATCTCTAAATAGTATAGTAACAAGAAGAAAAAAAAACTTACCTTGACCACTCAATAATCTTGGACTAATCCATTTGATTTTCGCAGTATTGCTCCCAAACAAACTTTCAACAGACTCAACTGGGTTGAGGGGGACGGGATAAGGCTGATAATCTGGATGGTAAACATTCAAAGCTGAGAAGGGACCGTTTCCAACAAAATACACATTTTGATAATATTTATCTTCCATCTTGTGGTATTCTTCTCCAAACAAATCATTTCCTGTTGTCCAGTAAAGCAAGTCGTGATGGATGGCTATGCTTTTGACATTTCTGTACTGAGGTGTCTGTGAATTCTCACGAATGTCTGTCACATCGTTGCCGTCGAGAGCGATTGAAACAACAGTGTTGTTAGAAGAAGATGGTAGGATGAGGCGAAAGTTTTTATGGTCTACTGCGAACGCTGACAAATAGTTGTCGTTTACTATTAGTTGAGCTTTGTCGAAGTCGACGCATCCGCTTTCGAATTGGACTAAATCTACTCTGTATAAGCCGCCATTCAGTGATCCATTTGACGCGATGAAGTATAAGTATCTATGATTAAAAGGGAAGATTTAGTTGCATTGCTATAAAAAAAACTAAACTATCATAATTAACATTACGATTTAACTTTATCCAAACCAGGCTTAAAGCCCTAATCATAACAATTAATACTAAAAAAGTGCAAAAAAAATTCTCAATATTTTTTTGCTTATAAAAAGCTGTAAAAATTAACTGGTAATGCCAATAATATAGTAAAAATGCATTTTTCAATCAATTCAAACATGTATTTGAAGTTTAAACTGAAATATACTTTTCAAATTATACTTATTACTAACTACTACAATTAGATACTAAATTACCTTATTATATTAATAAACATTTTTAAAAACAAATGAGTGTAAACTCATGCTTGAATAGTACATTAAAATGTTAGTTTTTTATTTACTATTAGGTCTCAAAAACATAACTGGATAATGATCAATCAATTCAAATAGTAATTTCCTGATAATGAGTCACTTTCCTAATATTTTTAGGTAGAAACACGGATTTAAAGTCAGTTCATTTTCATGTTTTAGTGCATTTTGATCAGAAAATGCTTTCAGTTTTCCCCAATCTAATATCTTTATTAATTATAATTATTTGTAGCCTCAACTCGTCGGTGATTTTTCGGATCATGTGTATTTTTAAACGTTATAAAAGAGAATTTATATATGAACTTAGACTATCAAAAATGGAGAATCTCCAAAAGTAAGTTACACGAAAAGCTAGTAAAGTAAATTTTGTTCGTAAATTCAGCAAAAAATAATTTTACAAAATCAAATGTCAGAATTTCAACAATTTTATCTTCAAAATGGTTATAAGCGCAAAAACTTTATTTTTAGAGATTTCTGATTGAATATTTTTACTATAATTTTATATTTTGAAGAAAATTAACTTACTTGGTAGTTTTAAAAGGAAAATTACAAAATAATTAGTAAGAGTAAATTACACTAGGAAGTAGGTTAGAAATAACTCTTGCAAAACTTTTTTTCACTTAACTAGATTGATTTAACTCACCCATTTAATGGATCCACATGCATATCTTTAGCTTTATGTTTCATATTTGCCAATGCTATTTCACAATTGATTCCCTTAATGTCACATCGAGATATCTAAATAATAAGTAAATAGAAATATTTCTGATTATGAGTTTTAGATAAAAAAAATTAACAAAAATGTGAAATGAAGCAAAACTATTTTGAAGTGAACCAATCATGTCAATCACGCAAGAGTACACCAACTAGTATCATACCAATTATAAATAAGCCATTTAGTACCCTAATCAATTAAGTAGTATTATGTAAATTATATACGAGTGTATCAATTAATCATCTACATACCACATTCATCATACCACATTTGTCAAAATGAAATTTACACACTAAATTTGTCTCATCGATCTAGTTGAATTAGCTATTGACATAAAACAGAATAATTTAATCAGAGGTTAATAAAACCCTGATAATTGAAACCATATTATTGTAAATGTTGTAAATTTACTACTGTTGCTGTAGATGAGTTTTAAGATAAAGGTAATTGAAAACTAAATTACTGTTCAGATTTTCAGTTTAATACTGGTTCTGGAAGTCAATAATCAGATTATTAAATTTGGAAATAAAATTACAGTTAATGTTTAAATTTATACCTGTTGCTGTATACCAGCATTAAAATAATTGTAACTTAAAAAAAACAGTTGTAAGCGAGTACATCATAACTCAACCATGGCCAAGTACCCAGCCATATTTTTAGGTCTCTGTGTTTCAACAGCCATGGTAGGAATGTTACGTAATTTTGACCCTGGTCAAACGACGTGGACAGCGCTTGAGCAGGCACCCCTTACTCGAAACTTCCACACTACAACCAACGAGAGGACTTTCAGCCACGACAGATTTAACGTGCACCTTGCCACGTTGCACGCCGGTTATTTTGTCGGCCACCAGGATAACTCACAACCCTCATCTCTTTAACCGGTGATGTGAGTGACGCTTTAACTAACTGCATCAATATCTACAAGTACCTATGCGAGTGCTACAATATCTACAAGTATCATATGCGACCTTATCATTTAGTATTATACGAAATCAAATAAAAAGTGCATCAACTAGTATTATACCAATCATGCACGAGTATATAAATTAGTATCATACCAATCAAGTAAGATTATGTCAAATAATAGTGAAAATAGTTATGAAATAATTTTTACTTGTTTTTCCTCAGCTAAATATAGTTTATTGTTCAGCCAATCAAATGTGAGTTTAGTTGGGAGATTCGGACTTGAGTTAATGATCTTTTTTATTCTGTTTGCTCCCCTTAAATCTACCATATAAACGTTTCCTGTAGAATCAGAGACGAAAAATAGATTTCGCTGAAGATTTAAAGCAATACCTATAAATAAAAGAAAATATCGTTTTAATTCGAAAGTACGCTAGAGATAAAATAGTTTTTTTATCGTAAATTTTTAGAAGAAAAAAATAATTTAAAAGTACCTGTGATGTATGCTGATTCATTACGAACTTTATACAAAACATGAGCATCATCGAGAATGCGTAATCCTTGTTTTAAAACACTGCGCTCTGTTCCAAAAATTAGGAACGCAGGAGGGTGATGTTCACCTAAATATTAATAAAAAAATAAAAATAATTAAAGTATAGAAAATAACAGTTCGTAAATTACTTTATAATAAGTGTGTCCTATTACCATATAGCCACTTAACACTAATTTAATTACCATTAAATAATTTAACCATATAATTAACACATAATAATTTTATCACCATATAAGTTTGCCATAAACACATTTGTCAAAATGAAATTTATACACTAAATTTGTCTCAACGATCTAGTTGAAGAAGCTATTGACATAAAACAGAATAATTTAATCAATGGTCAATTAAATCCTGATAATTGAAAACATATTATTGTAAATGTTTTAAATTTATTACTGTTGCTGTAACAGGAGTTTTAAGATAAAGGAAATTGGAAACAAAATTATTGCTCATGTTTTCAGTTTAATACTGGATCTGGACGGCAATATTCAAATTATTAAAGTTGGAAATAAAATTACAGTTAATGTTTTCAATTTATATCTGTTGCTGTATACCAGCATTAAAAAAATTGTAACTTAAGAAGACTATTGAAAATATTTTAAATTGATTACGTTTTCTGTATGCTAGTATATAATTCCAGATGATCGGAAGCAAAATTATTGGAAATGTAATGAATTTATTATTGTTGCGAGTTTATTTGAAAATTATTAAAATAGGAAATAAAATGATGTTTTAAATTTATTTCTATCGCTGTATGTCAGCATTAACGCTATGATAATAGAAAACAAATTGTTGTTAGCATTTTAAATTTGCTGTTAGAGTACGGAAATTTTAAAATCAGGATAACTAAAAAAGAAATGATTTTGAATGCTTAAATTTGGTATTGCTGCAATGGATTTGTTTAACATAAATATAAATTTTAAACAATAAAAGTTATTATCTGAACTCAATTGTTCAATTCATGAATTATATTATTAAAATTAAATTTAATTCTCATATTTTTTGAGAATTAAAAAACGCTGTTAATTATCTTCATATAAATTCGAAATTTATAACCAAAATATCCCTCTCTAAAGCGTACTAAAATTATGCATAATTAATCCATCATGCATAATTAATGCTAAATTTATAATTTTGGCTATTAGAATATTTCATCTTCTAATGACAAAAGGTTAATTTAAGGTCAGGAAGTATAGAGTATGAATCATGCTTTTAATAGTACTTTTGTTGAATTTTATTAATATATTCAAATAATTTAATTTATGAAAATTTGCATTTATTTAAAACTTAACAAAGAAACATTCAAACCACTGATTTCATGCATTAGAATAAAATAACTAAAACGTACGAAGTACAATTACTCGCTTGCTTATTTCTAAAAAGATTTAAAATAATCCATTTTTGCTAAAAACTTGTTTGAAGCAATCCATTTTTTGTGTTTAAAATTATTTTAAATGCTTTCGTTGTTAAAAACACGAACTAGAACTGATTAAAACACAACTCTATTTGTAAAAAACTTCCAATACCAACGTTAAAAAACTTAACAACTTTTAATTATTTTAAACATAACAGTGCTAACAATAAAGAACATCATAACCAAGAACGAAACAGAAAAATATCAGTGGCGTAACTGGATCACCCATCTCTTTTTAATTTATTGTCGTTTTCAAATAAATGATCTAGTTCATCGCTTTTAACATTCGTAAACATTAAAATACTTACTGGACGTCTCTTTTGACAATGTTGTGACATTCCGTTCGTCCATGGGTCCTTCGCCCATTGAATTCCTTATACTTAACAAAACTTTATATGTTGTATTTTCTTTCAAACCATTTATCATGTAGTGCAATCCATCTGATGTATCAGAAATATCCTGATGGAAAGAAACAGAAATATTAATTCATTAATGACTAAAACAATAACAGAAAAGAAAGTTCGATAACATAAAATGTGTGATGCAAGAGTGACTTGGACGAAAAATAAGTTACATATGATTAAATGAATAATGCAAGTTGAACTTAAAATTGTTAAAAAAAAGTTTGAATTGATTGTTGAAAATGAATTTTAATAACTACGCCAGACCGATATTGCATAGTCTTTTCCAGACTCTCTTATGAAGAAAGTAATTTGGCTAGGCTAACAGAAACCCAGATTTTAGAACGTTAACCACTCATTATAGTTTATAAATATTAAATTTTGAAATTTGTGAAAACGGAAGAATTATTTTAACAACTAACAAGAGATTATTTGAATAAAAATATTATTTAAAGCAAAAACTGTAATTTATATCCTTATATAAATTTATTTAATACATAAAGGAATATAATGCATAAAGAATATAATATAATATAACAACATATTCATGACTAGGGATGCGTCAAAATCTCTTGTATCGAAACGTTTCATGAATTAAAAATCTCTTGAAAGTATCTAAAAAATGAAGATGCCCAGATTTAACAGATATCAAAATGAATAGTACAAGAACAATTTTAAAAAATTCCCTGATAAAAAAATTTAAACATTCGTGTATCACTCATCATTTAAACATTAATCGTTTAATTATTATCATTTAAACATTCGTGTACAACAAAAGGAAGCCTTCAGTTCATAATAGTATAAAATCGTTTGCTAATTATAAAAGTAAAAATCATTTGTGATAATCTATCTTTCGCTGATTAAATTTTGTGAAAAACTGTACTTAAAATATCGTCTGCTATTTAAGAGTGAACAGTATGATAGTTTGTGAAACATGATGCTTTTATTATACTAATTTCATATTATAAATACACCGTGTTAAATTGTTTAATAATTCCATACTGATGATTATTACGTGAAATTATTTCTTATAGAATAATAAAAAGATCTTCAAGTTTAGTTTTGCCAACATTTGAGGAAATAATTCTGTGAATTATAAAAGAGTTGCTCATTCGTGACTAATAAAAACGTTTGACTTAAATTAACCTTTTCTTTACTTTCGAAAGAACTTTTCAAAATGGAGTCGAACCAAGGATCCATTTAGGTAATATAAAAATTATCACTATTCATACATAAATGTGTCTCGTACTATTTGTTATCATACTGCCTCGTTAATGAAAAATATTTAAAATTATTATTTCATTGTCTTAGGAATTTAATTGAAATGTAATTGTATTTGTAATTGAGTAATGTTAAAGCTACAATCTATTTATCTAATAATGCAAATAGTATTTCTATATTTAAGGTACTATAGTGTTAATTAATAATTTTATTGAATGCTATACCTATTCCAAGCAATAAATTTTCTAATAAATTCAATTAAACAAATTATTGATAAAATTCAGTGAAATCAGTGAATGGGATGCCGCAAGCGACGCAGAGTCGGTATATCGATCTTGATTGGTTGTTAAAACGTGTCATTTGTTTACATTAGCAACTGTTCTTTCCATTCTATTTCAAGAAAGACAAATGCGTTAAGTATCAATTCTCTTAAGTGATACATTAAGGTTTATACTTTATACTTATTCATTAAATAAAGTATACGAGTACTATTTAGAAAAGTGGCATTTTCTATAGAGTTTCCTTTACTCGAAAAAGTTTATAAATGAATTTCAAATTTGAAAATAGAAAGAAAACTTAGGTGTCTAGCTCTCGCAAAAGAACAGTTTAAAACAATTTATTAAAATTGTAAAAATAAAAATTCAATAAACACACTACACTAAACTGAAATCAAATATTCTATGTTTAGTATGAAAAAAATGTTTGGAGAACTGTCCATAAGCCCCACAAATTACTTTTAATACACTTCGATTTGGCATGCATGCTCTAAAGGTATTATTGATTCATGTTATTATATTTCCATTCCCATTATAATATTATATTATTGTTATTAATTCATAGTGTTCATTTTTTATTTCTCTTATTCTTTATTTAAATTTAAGGAAACTTTAAAAATCGGTAATTTCGAAAACTATTCTCATTTCTTAAACACACCTGACAGAATAAACAATTAATGAATTGTGAACTTTTGCAAGTGTTTCATTTTGTAACACTCTATGATTTCAAAAAAAAATTAAAGTGTACTCCTTAAAAAATCCCAGGTCAAATTGCTGTGAAAAGTACAGCCCCTTTGGATGCATCATCCGAAATATCCATTTTTACCGCAAAATATTATACCGTAAATTTACAAGAAATAGAACAAAATAGCCTAAATTCTTACCTTAATCATAATGTTTCCACTGGGGTATTCGTATATGTACAATACATAAGATAAAATAGGTCCGTTGGGATATGGAGGTGGGTCAAAACTTAAGGACACACGACTAGGACTCACTACAGTTAAGCACGTAATCACAGGAGCTGTAGAGGGAGCTGAAAATAGTGATAATATTAAAAATTTATTGAAGTATAAAACTTAACTTACATACTATATCTATAGCTTATATTTACTTAAAAAATAGGACGATCTCTTTTCTTACTTTAAAATAATAAAATTGCAAATGATTATTATAATTTTAGAAAATTAAAAAAAATTTTTTTTATCGTAAATAGAACAACGGATAAGACTTGCTTTTGTTTTTCCTCACTTCAAAATTCAAGTGATGCTGAAACTGATTATTGCTTATACATTTATAATGATTGTTTATTCATGATTTTTCGAATTTAAAACAAATTGTCTCAGAAATTGCATGAAATTTCGAATTCATCGTTCGGAATTCGTAAAAATTTCCATAGATTATTTAATATTTTTTAAAATCAACAAAGGAATAAGAAAGGCATACATTTTAGAATTTCTCAAACACCAATACACGGCTAGAATTTTCATTCTAAAATTTCCTTGCAAAATAACCGGTTGCAGTCTGCCAGTTCCCTTTGAAGCCATTTACATCTAGTATGGATTCAAAACCATATAAATGAAATTGAAATGGTTAATTGTTAGGCTTTTCCTTAGGTAATGGACATTCTCCTACAACTTTACTCTTTGGAGTTAAGTTGCGGATGAGATGTGTTTTGTCAAGGATACCGTGGAATCTAGTTTATCTAGTGGTGTCTTCTATCACAAAAGATGGGATATACTAGACATTCTTGCGAAAGCAACGTTGTGTTGTTGACATCTTTGCGTGAATGAGAGTTTCGTATACCAATAGATTAGGATTACCAATAGAGTAGTGCAGGACATTGGAAACTTCTCATATTTTTAAGAAATAGTGGAAATATTGTAATGTCAACACTGAAATACAAACGCCCCGTTCAGCCGGTCATGCGAAAGACAAATTTGCCTTCTCGGCTAAAATGTTTACCACACACTTATCATTATAAAATTACTCGACACACTCCGCTCTGTTAGACATCTGATGATGGAAAAAAATATATGAATCCGTTATCCTTTTCACATGGCACAGCTCCTAGCTTTCGAAAAACGTGTGCTTCATTCTTATTGGCTGTGAGTCTAGTTGGCTCATTAAAATACCGTTTGCTTAACAGTATTAGTTTCACAACTATATAGAACCAGAACGGTTAATAGTTATAGTTAAAACTATATAATAGAAGAAAAAGGAGAAGATTTAAAGCGTTAAATAAAATATTATCTACCTCCATAAGGTAATGTTGATATGACAATACTCTCTTCCGAAAACAAAGGAGGATAATTCTTCAGTAATATCCATGCAACACGAAATCTGTACTTTGTATAAGGATGTAAGTTTTCAACATTGAGATAGTTATCCTTCAATAAATGAATAGGATCGTAGTATTCCCAATCGGTCTGGTGCGATCCATCTTTGCGCCACTGCACAAGGTATGAGATATTACGATACTGACTCGGCACCCAACGAATCGTGATGGAACTGTTTGTGCGGGTTTCAGCGACAAGGTATGGTTGAGCAGGAGTTCCAAATTCATCTAAATATAATATCAAGTATTAATACACATAATATACAGATGATGCATACACATTTAAATAAAACGAAAAGAAAAAGTATTTGAGGTTTACAAGAATAATAATATATGACGACATGGAAATAAAACTCTATTATAAAATTAAAAATTCATAGAAGGAATAATCCCATATTAAGAATGTTCCGTACTAAATTTGAAAAATATGCAATAAAATGTTAACTAGGTTAAAGCTAGATTTTTAAGTTCTGAACAATAATTTATAAATCATTATATTCGTGTAGAACAACATTCGTGTAGAACAACATCTTCTAAATCTCTCTCTCTCTCTCTCTCTCTCTTTTTTTTCCGAGACGGAATGTCCCNGTATGATAGGAAAAAGCAGCCCAAATCATTATGGAGCCACCACCAGTTTGCACAACCACTAGTTGACAACTTGGTTTCATGACTCCGTTGTAAATACACCTCCAACACCTTGAGTAAAACTAAATATGTTTTTAAACGAAATCAACAAAAGAAAAACTTACTGTAACAATATTTCATCACATGTTTGATAATATTATTTTTGATCTTATTTTAAATTTATTTTCCTGCATAGATAGTACGGTTAAGAGATTGCAGAATTAAAAGTCTTGTATTGTTATATCTTTAATGCAGCTACTGCAATAACATATAAATTCATAAAAGCATAAAGACTCTTTAAATAAATATCCAAATCAAAAATTTCCTCTTAATTTATTAATTTCCATTAAAAATAATGCATATCTTTTTTCGTCTGTTGATCTATTGGGCTTCACGGAGGAACAAAAATCTGGTAAAATTACCATACTGTATGGTAATGACATTTCTGGTAATACAAACCATAATTCTAGCAGTAATAATTCTTGAATGCAAACAATTAATAATTATTACCTTTCATAGCTTTCATGTACAAATTGATAGCTATACTGCATCCACGGACACAATATAATCCCTGAAAGGAAAATAATATTGAAAGCATTTGTCTTATCCAATATTTCACAGGTTAAATTATTCTTAGGTACTTAATTTAAGATATAAATGTAAGATTAAGATTAAAGGTACTTAGTTTAAGATATAATAAATGATGAATTTTAAATTAGAATTGCTATTAAATAAAGCAGAAATTTATAAAAGAGATTTCAGCACTTATGCTGGATGCATAACTTCAAGTTTGCATTTTCCAGCTTATTACTACAACATTTTTCATATAAAATATATTTATTATTATTTATAATATTTATTATTACAGTAAAAGGTCAACAATCATAACTTTATTTATAACTCACTAAAATATATAATGGATAGTTTTAATTTATTTAATAAGTATAATAAAAAAAATATTGATTTAAATAAAACTTACCATTTTGCTATTGAAGCCCTGCTTATTTTCTTCCTAAAGAAAAAATAGCTTGTCCATAAAATATTTTTCAATTAATAATTTTTGAGAAAAGTTCAAAAATCAAGTGAATAGAAATATTTTGAATGTGTGAAATTTTTCCACATAACAGAATATATTAACACATAACGCACATAAAGGGTAACACTGCATTTAATAACATGGTCGCATTTCTTAAATATGCTTCGGAATCTTCGAATAACAAATTTGTTTGTTAATACTGGAAAATCAAATGAATCAACAAAAATTTTTTCAAATGAATCAACCATTTAGTTCCTACCTTTAAGCTTTTTTTTGTTTTAAAAGAAGGAAAAATGTTTGTAAAGTCAAAAGAAAAAAAAACATTTATGAAAAAAAGTTTTTCGTTCAATTATTCATTAAATCATTATTTTCGAAGCATAATCAATTTATTTTAAAAAAATGCAACTGAACAAGATTTTGTGTTATAGCAACTTATGAAATAAAATTTGAGCTTAATCAAATCAAACATGTTTTACTGAGCGTGAACCGTCTATTTACATTAAAAGTAAAATATCAGATTTTTTGTTCGATTTATAAGTAATTTATCTATTAAGATGCATTTATTTTAACATAAATTAAAAGCATACAAGGAGTATAAAGTATAACAAATATGAATTGAGATTAGTAACTCAAACTGTTATATAATGTTTATTATCGCAATACCCTTTGGCATAAAATTAATTATAATTAATGTTATAGGCATAAAATTTACTATGAATAACATTATGGCAATAAAAATACTATTTTTTTAAATAATACTCACGCAGACTTCATGGCAGGAAGATGAGCTGGCATTAATCCATAAGTCGCAACCTTCACGGCACTAAAATAATAATAAAAATAACAATTATAATCAAGGCTATTCATAACAAATTGAATTGAAGGAGTGCTAATTGTATGAACAGGGATATTTAGACAAATATTTGACCAACATGAATTTCTTGAAAATAAATTAGCACAAAAATAAGTTAATATTGCTTACAAACATTAAGAAATATTTCATTTTATAAACGAATTCAGTGCATTTAAATATTTTTCTCCTATAAAGAATAATTTTATTATGTTTCTTTTTTATCATAACTTCAGAACTTAATTGAATCACTCAATTTTGAAAAAAAAATTAATTTTTCTATTTTAGAATCATTAAAATCCTGAGAAAAACTAGCATATTTCTTAAATGAAGTCAGAATAATTTTACTTGAGTTCTTGCATTTTTCTGGAAAATTTTTCTTAAACCATAAGTCTATTAATTAGTATCAACGTTTTTCATAATAAAAACTAGCCCATATTCTGAATTTAATTTCGATTTGCGCGTTCAATGCATTTAATAAATACATTGTAAAATCCTATTTATACGCCGATTTTCTGAGAATATTTTTAAAAAAAAATCAAATTCCAAATTGCTGCTGTAATTTAAATTCGAATCACGAACGATGTTTCGAGAAATTCAATATGAATAAATAGTAATTTAACTCTGATTTTATTTTTAATTTTTATTATTCAATGTTTGAACATTACAAAAATTATCTATTCCTTATTGAAGGTTGACACAGCAACCAAGAAAACAATTGTTTCTTTTAACTAATATAAAACTGATGATTTAAAATGGTGAACAATAAGAATAATAACTAGCACATAAAGGCAACTTATTTTTATCAAAAAAAATACATTTTTATTTCAATAAAAAATGTTAAACGAAATTATCTAAATGAATATGGGGTAAATGGCAAATTCAACGTACTACTATCAATAATTGAATAAATTCTATATTGAATTTGAATTCAGCATATCGCAAGATGAAATTGAATAAATTCTGAATAAATGTTAAAATCTTGAGATTTTTCATTTAAAATTAAATAATGTAATAATAATAATGTAATAATTGTGTAATTATAATAATGCAATAATAATTTAAACGTTTCATGTAGCAGGATACGCAAGCTATAACAGGATAAATCCTTAAAACTGCCCTATAATTTACAGTAAAACCATTTGCAATTAAAAAATAATCAGATAGCAATAAGGAGTTTTTAAAAAAAAATATTATTTAAATATGTTATCGTAAAATATGTTGCAATATGTTGCCTGATTTCTGTTTTATGTCAATATTTATTATTTTATATAATATTTAATATATAGTATTTAATATATAATTTTAATTATATTATCAATGTTTAAAATTTAAACTTATTTTCGCGACTACACTTCGCTTTTTAGTTTTTTTAATGAAGGCGTCAATTTGAGATTTTCATAATTTAACTAAATAGAGTTTACGATAAAGCATTTGAAAATAATAATGGTTTTTAAAGAGGTACTTTTATATAAATACTTTTAGGTAATTAGGTAATTTGTAATCACTTATTTATATAGGTTTATTCGTGTGAATATTTTGTAGGTTTATTGATAAAGTAATTGTATTTCTATGGGGATACTCAGGATACATTTTAAATTTGTTGCATGATCTTTGGCAATTAAGCGTCATTGTCATATGATTTTAAGTCAAAACACGATAACTGCACTTTAAAAAAAAAACATAATAAAATATATATTACGTACGAAATTCGTATGTTTGTTTTTCAAAATGAAGTCTTGTTCTTTTTTGATATTTAAGACATAAACTAATTAATGTATATTTTTGCATATTAGGCTGGTAAATTTGCTTCTTTTTTTAATTTTTTTTAAATTACTATCTTCTTAATTTATCAAAAAGGGAAAATTTTATCTTTGTCAAATCCTAAATTTTTTTCATCAAAACTACTGCTAATTTTTCTCGCAAACCGTTAGTTCATTTTTAAACCTACAGAGCCAGCCAATTTAGGGAAAAAGCTGGTAACGTAAAAACATGGACCGTTGTTGTCCATCAAGTGCGCTGAAGTCTTGTTTATGCTGTTGCAGGTACCCCGCGTGAGCCTAATAAGGAAGTGGCTCATTAGAGGGTGAGGCTAAAGGGCAATTATCGCGTCGCTCAGACGAATGAAGTCTCTTTCTTCCCTCATTGCTATCTGCTGGCTTAGAAAGCAATTATCCGGGCCAACTTTGCATTCAGTTTCGCGCCCATCTACTCTGGCAGGCTGCAGTCAAGTAAGCATCCTTCTGGTTGATTAGAAGGGAGAGTTTTTTATATGACAATGTCATATGATGGAGGACCCATAATCTGTAACCGCTCTCCCTAGATCTGGGAGATGATGACAATCATCATTTATCGCATGTCGAAACGCGAGCAAAAAATAAAGATGGTTTAGTCATTTTAATTATTATATAAATCAAACAACACATGCTGATTTTTCTTTGGAACTTAAATAAATATTTTACTTTTTTGACATCCAGTAGAGGATGAGTGATTACCTTGAAAGTATAAATGTAGCTGAAATGTCTATCAATGTTTTTATTTGGACTCAAACAAAATTACGATCGCACACATTTGATGATATTTACGTACTTTTACATTTTTTGGATTGATTTTGGCTTGATTGTTACCTTCATACTAAGGCTACGTTGACAATCTTTTGAACATTAAATTTTCTTCCAAGGGTTAAGCTCCTTGATAAAGTTGTATTGAAATTTTCCTGCTACGCACCGCTTTCCCTTTGATTTACATGGAGAAACTGGTATTTCAATCCATACATGATAACTTTACTTGAAAACATCTCACTATGTTATGTTTCTCATACATTTATGTTAAATTTACTTTTAAGTAGTTAATAAATATATTTCGATGTTAATAATTATTAATTTTTAGTTTAGACTGTTGGAGCAAGTAAGGTGACAGTTTAAATTTTGTTAAACAAATAAATTATTAGTTATCATTTATGTCTTCATAATAGAAATCAGGTTTTTGAATTTATTCTGAATTATTTGTATGGATAGATATATGTATATGTATATATAT